ACCATTGCGGTCCTTACAAGAAACAGGAAGCTAGGAAACTTCACCTGCACTGTCCAGTATCCATGTATTTATTTCAGTCACACTGGTTGAATTTTTGGCTAAAAGGTTACTGAATCGATTTCAAGTCACTGAATCGATTCGGATCGTATCGTTCTAAATGAACCAATATCGTCCTTGAATCGTATCGACAACCACGAATCGTGATACAAATCGAATCGTTGTTAAAACGAATCGTTACACCCCTAATATGTATGTACAGTATATGTATGTACAGTATATGTATGTACAGTATGTGTATGTATGTACAGTGTATGTATGTATGGTATATTCCCTCTGTCATGTCACGACTAAAGGATGAGAACGAGATAATAAACGGAAGAGGATCAGTTAGTATTGCTAACAGCATCCTGATTATTGCAAGCTGCTCTTTGAAATGGGAGATATTAAACATCCCCAGTCTGCCTCTTTGTTCTTAGTCTTTGATAAAAGCAAGGAAAAAAGAGGGGGAAGAAGAAAGAGAAAGGAGAGGAAAAACACCCTGTCTGTTGCTTCAGACAGTATCGCTGACCTGTGTGTGTCTTGAAAATCTACAGGAGGGTTGCTCTCCAGCAACAGGGTTGGATTGAAGACCTACAGGAGGGTTGCTCTCCGGCAACAGGGTTGGATTGAAAACCTACAGGAGGGTTGCTCTCCAGCAACAGGGTTGGATTGAAAACCTACAGGAGGGTTGCTCTCCAGCAACAGGGTTGGATTGAAAAACTACAGGAGGGTTGCTCTCCAGCAACAGGGTTGGATTGAAAACCTACAGGAGGGTTGCTCTCCAGGAACAGGGTTGGATTGAAAACCTACAGGAGGGTTGCTCTCCAGGAACAGGGTTGGATTGAAAACCTACAACTGGGTCACTCTCCAGGAACAGGGTTTAAAAGTGAAAACCTTCAGGAGGATAGCTCTCCAGGAACAGGGTTGGATAGCCCTACTCTAGACGGTTTGTGTTAGTTTTTACTTTGCCAGCCATTGTCTTTATTGCCATCATGTTCAAACCACCCTGCCTTCTTACATTTTACATTTACATTTTAGTCATTTAGCAGATGCTCTTATCCAGAGCCCCATGGGTCTCCCGGTCACGGCCGGCTACGACAGAGCCTGGATTCGAACCAGGATCTCTAGTGGCACAGCTAGCACTGCGATGCAGTGCCTTAGACCACTGCGCCACTCGGGAGACGAGTTCTTAAGCTGTTAATTCAGTGATGACACAATTAAAGGAGGAAATATCATACATATCATATCATACAGTATCATACAGTACCATCCTATACTTAAGCAATAAGGCCCAAGGGGGTGTGGTATATGGCCAATATACCACTGCTAAGGGCTGTTCTTATGCACGACGCAACACGGAGTGCCTGGATACAGCCCTTAGCCGTAGTATATTGGTCATATACCACAAACCCCAGAGGTGCCTTATTGCTATTATAAACTGCTTACCAACGTAATTAGAGAAGTAAAGAGAAATGCTTGGTCATACCCGTGGTATACGGTCTGATATACCACGGCTGTCAGCCAATCAGCATTCAGGGCTTGAATCACCCAGTTTATAAAAGGAAATATACAACATAAAGTGGATGTGCCTGGTGCAAAGAGTGGTCATTCATGTTTCCATTCTTGTTTGGTCTGTTCTCATTTGTACATCCATACTACTCTAACAAAGTGGTCAAGTTGTTCTCTAATACTCCAAGACTTCAATGTTGTGGATTGTATGGGATCTGTGTGTTCCACAATCACATGATTTAGCCTGCCTAAACACCCACAGGATTTAGACTGCCTAAACACCCACACCCACACATCCTTAGTTCAAGAAAAACCCTTTATAGCAACTGAAGAGGTTGAATGATATTGTTTGCTTAGCGCTTTGTGGAACGTCAGAGTAGTGCTTGCTTGGGTGTTTGGGAAGCTGATCTCTCTCGCTGTGGCCTTGTGTGTGCATCGACCTCTCCCAGGAGAAACACCGAGAGCAAGGGAAGACCCTCTCATCTAACTTTGTGTAAATTATTCACTGTGAGATTTTTGTGCATGAACCCCAAACAAAGTACTGCCCGCTGTCTGACCCTAACCCGACTGGGGGCTGCACCGTCTGCTACCACAGATGGCTGAGTTTCATTTTCCTCTCCTGCGGTTGTTAGATTGGCTTTTGGGCCAACCCTGGGCTGCGTCTGAAATGGCACCCTATTTCCTATATAGTGCACTACTTTTGACAAGGGCCCATGGTATTTGTATTTGATTTGAGACCTGAATGATACTTATCTTGTGATTTCGGAATTGGATTTTGCATCTTTTTCACCCCTCAGTTAGTTTGACAGTGTCACAGGCGTAAATATGTTTGCTCTCCGGCAGTTATCAGGAGCACAACATATTTACAGTTAGAAAATGGAAAATTAGTTAGCCTCCCTTGTAGAAAACAGAAAGAAAAAGTAAGCAATTTCCAGCCCTGAAACCCAGAAACCTCATAGATTATTACTATTAAGTTAATATTCATGTAACATTTCGGTTTAAGCAAAATGCTGAGGTGATATTATTTTATTTTGCTTTTCTCCTTTCATTCAGATGTTCTCTCTCTCTTTCTTTCTCTCTCTCTTTCTTTCTCTCTCTTTTTTCTCTTTCTCTTTCTTTCTTTCTTTCTCTCTCTCTCTCTCTCTCTCTCTCTCTCTCTCTCTCTCTCTCCATCCTCTCTCTCTCCCTCCTCTCTCTCTCTGTCTCTTTCTTTCTCTCTTCTTCTCTCTTCTCTCTCTCAGCAGAAACAGCGGGAGTTGAGTCTCTGGCTCCTGCTTAATGAAAGCTCACAGATATGAGTCACATGATTTACTCTCACAACATTAGAATCTCTCCCTCTTCAAAGACTAACATCCTGCAATTTGTTTTGACTAGCCCAGTCTGGATTATAGAAATCACTTTGCTTCTGCTCAGACTCACCGTCTGGCGGGCCAGAGAGATAGAGAGGGGGATAGAAGCAGCCAGCACACTGTTTGAAGACATTTAACCTTTTATGAGACAGTATCGTTACTGTATGAGGAAGTATATTTCCAGTGAGGTAGTGGGATGCAGGATGAAGAAAATGACTAGAAGGGACAGTAGATGAAGGATGTGATGAATTGAAGCCTATACCTACTTCTATATCGAATAGTCAAGCCACTGTAGTTTACTGGTCACTATGATCTATCAGCATGTTTCAAGCCTGTTACCAAAGTAGTAGTTTAAGTGTAAAGCTTACTACGTCGCACAATACAATAACCCCCTGAGTGAAAGTGTGTTTTGCAGAAGATATTGCAGGTGCTCACTTCTTAAGGCTCAAGGTGCCCCTCAATTAAACCTGTTTAAAATGCAGCTCACATTTACATGCACCACAGAAAGCTGTGTTTCTGTGTGTGTGTGTGTGTGTGTGTGTGTGTGTGTGTGTGTGTGTGTGTGTGTGTGTGTGTGTGTGTGTGTGTTCAGGCTGTACAGTGAGCTCCAAAAGTATTGGGACAGTGATACATTTGTTGTTGTTTTGACTGTGTACTCCAGCACTAGGGATTTGAAATGATACAATGACTATGAGGTTAAAGTGCAGACAGTCAGATTTAATTAGAGGGTGTTTTCATCCATACCGGGTGAACCGTTAATAAATTACAGCACTTTTTGTACATAGTCCCATGATTTTAGGGGACCAAAAGTATTGGGACAAATTCAATTATATGTGTATTAAAGTAGTAAAATGTGGTCCCATATTCATAGCACACAATGACTACATCAAGCTTGTGACTCTACAGATTTGTTGGATTGCATTTACTGTTTGTATTGGTTGTGTTTCAGATTATTTGGTGCCCAATAGAAATTAATGGTAAATAATGTATTGTGTCATTTGTTTCTAAACACTTCTACATTATGTGGATGCTACCATGATAATACGGATAATCCTGAATGAAGTGCTGTAATTTCTAAACGGTTCACCCGATATGGATGAAAATACCCTCTAATTAAATCTGACTGTCTGCACTTTAGCCTCATAGTCATTGTATCATTTCAAATCCCAAGTGCTGGAGTACACAGTCAAAACAACAACAAATGTGTCACTGTCCCAATACTTTTGGAGCTCACACTGTAAATACTGGTCCTGCTGTGTAGGGTCACAGAGAGGAATACAGCAGGCTGAGGCCCCTCGGTATAACTCTGCTCTGTCTCTCTCTGTCTCTCTCTCTTTTTTTCTCTATTTTTCTGTCTCTCTTTCTGTCTTTCTTTTTTTCTTTCTCTCTCTCTCTCTCTCTCTCTCTCTCTCTCTCTCTCTCTCTCTCTCTCTCTCTCTCTCTCTCTCTCTCTCTCTCTCTCTCTCTCTCTCTCTCTCGGTTTATGTGTTGGGTGGTTTATGCTACTGCCCCTGGAACCTGGTCAACTGTGCACATCCACATGGCCAAATATGGTGATGCTATACTGGATGGGGGTACAGACACCTCTACAAGGTCATACATGGTGTGTGTGTATCTCAGTATCAGATACTCTTTCACCTTCTAGTCTACAGTTAGAAAAGGAGTAAGGGAGAAAGGAAGGAGCCCTACAATGTGAAGCACATGATGATGAAGGGCTGGCTTGTTAAAAAACATGCTTTTATCTAATTCTCTGAATCAATCACACTCTCTCATATTATCTGTAGTGTTTCACTGTGTTTTCTCTATAGAGAAGCCAATAATCCAGTGATGGCTCTCTCCCATTGACATTGGACTCTCTGTGTCTCTTTACCTCGACTCATTGTTGGATCTGGTTGTGTAACAGTACATTTAGGCCTGTGTTTTGGAACTCAGCCACCCACATTTGAGTGACATACACCACGCCCTGGGGAAGACATATTCCTGGTGAAACCACTCCGACCATGTATTCCACTAACAGTTTCCCCTTGTCTCCTTCTATAGGGAGCCGTTGTGAGAGACGGTAACGTTCCCTAGAAAGGGCCCAGACCCCGCCACTGCCAAGTCATGGCCCCTCGCAAGCGTCCAGGGCGGGGCCTCTCCGATATATTCTGCTGTTTTAAAGGGAGTGATCACCCGGAGATCACCTACCGCCTCCGCCATGACAGTAACTTCACCCTACAGACCATGGCGCCATCCCTGCCCATGCCGCCTGAGGAGGAGCTGGATGCCATGTTCTCTGAGCTTGTGGTACGTACTGTTCCTGGACTGGGCTTGGCCCACTGCCATGCTGACAAGCTTAATCTTGCTCTCTGTCTCTCTGTCTCTGTCTCTCTCTCTCGCTCTCTCTCTCTTGTCTCTCTCTCTCTCTTTCTTTCTCTTGTCTCTCTGTCTCTGTCTCTCTCTCGTCTCTCTCTCGCTCTCTGTCTGTCTTCCTGTCATCTGTCTCTCTGTCTGTCTCTCTGTCTCTCTCTACTCTGCCTCTCTCCCCCATACAGAGCTGCTGGTTGGTAGTTAGTTCAGCTCTACACTATAAATAAAATGTAGATGACTAGTAAAGGGATCTTGCCATAAAAAGCACTCTTGTTGACAATGACTTTTAAACAAAATGATTGCGTTGGACGTAAATGTTTTCGTTTGGCTTTCATTTATTACATGATTACAATCTAATCAAAAGCTTTCAGGACTGTGAAGTATTTAACTAGCTTAATCACATGTGAGGGATACGTGGACGGCTGCCATGTTGGAAGGCGAAGCGGCCAGGTCTGCACTTGCTTTACTTCAACTCTGTTTCCAGGGCCTGGCTGTGTTATTGACTCATAAATACTCACTGAGGGAGGGGCTCGCTTTTGATATACTATATGTTCTCTGATATACTCTATGTTTGCTTGTTTCCAGCCAAATCAATGTTTCTTGACTGCAATATAAAGGTGCTTTACTACTAGCTTGAGTACACTAAAACACATGTAGACTGCTCTCTGCACATCAACCATACAGTATTTCAGATAAAGGACCGTTCAGAAAGCTCAGAGGCCCATGGCGTCCTGTTTGTATGGTCAATCGGGTCAGTGCTCATGCCTCTATAAAGATAGAGAATGGCTTCTTCCTAGTCCTCATCCTAATAATCCCAACCTCTCTGTGACCAAACCTCTCTGTGATATTCTGGTTCCTCTCACTAATTATCCATTAAAGGGTTAACAGCTGTGAGTGAGACCATACAGCCCGTCTTCATTTAGATCTGCAGACTCCATTGAGCAGGGGGCCGGTGAGCGTCTGTGCAGGCAGGGGCCACCAGCGCGTGACAGTGCCTGTCCCCCCCCAGCAGCAGCCAGCAGAGCAGCCAGTGGTACGGTTGGGCCCCTCGCCTCGCAGGGCTGCACGCGCTCTGCCGAGTCACTCGTCCCTGGCACTGGCCAAACAGGCCTCCTGCAGAGAACCCATCTGCAGCCATTGTGTCCTGACGGGACCTCTCACAATGGGCCAAAACAGAGATGTCAAACAGTGTCAGCCTAAACCCTAGTCTGGTAAACACCCTGGCTCTATGCCTCAGGACGAGGGAAATATGGCTTGGGCCATGTTCAGTGAGCACGAAACGGAAGAAAATATTCCAAAACGCTGATAGACGAGGGGATGTTGCCAACCATCTTTGAAAGAAGAAGAAGAATACAGGATACATAGTGAGACCTGTGTTTGTTCTTCTCTTTTAAGTTATTTATATTACTTCAAAGGTTGGCAGCTAAACGATTGAGGAAACGCTCTAGTTATCTCTGTTATTTCAGTCCTCCATTCTGTCCGTCCGGCCGTCCCTCCGTCCGTTGATGTACCAGCCAGTTGTCTCTCTGACTTGGGACTCCATAGGGCTCGTCTGGATAAGATCAGGCCTGTAGCTTGGCAGACCTGGAGAAGAGATGTGGCATCTGGCAGTGACGTTTTCTCTCTGGTATGCCTGTTGTTCACACTGGACTATCTGCTCTGCTATTGCTACTCTGTTTAGATTGGTTTTATGTTAGCCACATTTCATGCTGTCTGTTGGTCAAAACCATTAATTTTTTCACTCCTCTCCTCCACCTCCTCCAGTCATCACAGTGCTGTTATGAAGAGAGATAGTTGACCTGGCTGTTAATAATAACTTGCACATGAAGTTGATGTATTTGCACCCAAACATATCGTTTGAGAATGATCCAGTTCAGGCAGGAATGCTGATGCATTATGGTTGTTGTCATTGAAATAGGGTGTTGTAGGGTCGCTCTTAATGTAATAATTGATATCCCACTTGGCAGCCGTCCTGTCCGGAATCTTTCCAATGGAATTCTATGGGATGTCAATATTAATCTGATATTGCAGGGACAATGGATGTTTGGCTGTAAGTGGTCATGATTGGTAACAGACACAGAGAGCAGACAGTGGATCAATGACGCTGCAGGCTGGTTTAGATGCAGGGAACAGCAGACACACACAGATGGAGCATTTGAGTTCATAATGTATCTTTCTATTATCAGCACATCTTCTCATATCTTTAGCTTGATCAATCCGCTTCCTCCTTTCTATTATCAGCACATCTTCTCATATCTTTAGCTTGATCAATCCGCTTCCTGTCTTACTCACGAAACCAGTTTGAAAGCGAAAACAAAATCTTGTGAGAAATCACAAAGCCAAGATCACTTAAGAACACTGGATCAGCTTACAATTAGCATAATACGAGTTTTCCATGGATCAGGAAAGATTAGGTAGTCCCTCTTACCACAAGTTCATGAAAGTGTGTCAGACATGGAGGTGCCTAATATCCCACTAAGACAGTACTCTGTTCCTCTCTCTCTCTGCAGGATGAGCTGGACCTGTCAGGGAAACACAGGGAAGTCATGTTCGCCCTGCCAGCTGAGAAGAAATGGCAGATGTACTGCAGCAAGAAGAAGGTACGTTTAAGGCCACTTGACTAGTAGTTAGTGTGCGTGTAACCTCAATGTGTTTTGTTTCTGTCTGCACTGTGTTTGCGTGAGAGAGAGTATGCCTGAGAGTGTGTGTGTGTGTGCATCTCTCTCTCTCTCTGTGTACATTATCTACAGTATCTAGAGGGAATGTCTGCTGAGCTCTGCTAGTGTTTGGGAAATATTTTCATTGCGATTGAAACAAATGAGCTGGTTTTGCAGCTGGACTGCGAGAGAGTGAGAGAAGAGGGAGAGAGAGGGAGGGGGAGGGCATGGGAGAGAGAGAGAGGGGAGGGGAGAGGGAGGGAGGGGAGAGGGAGGGAGGGGGAGGGAGGGAGGGAGGGGAGAGGGAGGGAGGGAGGGAGGGAGAGTGAGTGAGAGAGAGTGGCAGGAAGAGCGAGAGGGAGAGAGAGGGAGAGGGGGATGGAGAGATGGAATGAGAGAGCAGTGTGATAGAGAGAGAGAGAGACGGTGAGAGAGAGGGTGTGTGAGTGGTCAGGCAGTGAGAGAGAGCAGATCTATCCTCTAAGTCTCTGTGAAAGAGCTCTTTTATCATTGCTGCCAGACAGAACATGGGGCCAACACAGCCCCCCCGTCCCCCTCCACTCCCCACCTCCGTGCCCTAACCCCAATTCAGCCTAGTCAACACATCAAAGCCCTCCGCTGGTGTTGCAGCGCTCTAATAGGAACTTAACCCCATCGTTGGGGAGTTGTGCTGTTCCCCTTTAATGGATTGGATACATTTCCTGGAAGGACGTTCTCATCTATCATGACCGACTGTAGATCATAAATCTCACTAGTGAATTCTATGAATATAGAAGACTGGCTGACATGCCGTATTAAAGTACATACTGATGTCATGCCTCTAACACACAGACCTAACCTAAACAACAACGTTTTATCCAGTGAGGTATTGCATGGGATTGACTTCATAAAGGATAGGGTTTGGCTGAATGTGAGGTCCCCCCTGGTCTGTAACAGCTCTGTAATTGGTGGGTTTCTGTTGTCTGGCATGTCCTGCCCTGTAAGACCTCGTTAAGAGAGAGAGAGAGAGTACTGCTGTGCTGCCATAGAAACGCCAGTGCAGCTGCTGTCTGTCGACCAGTAGGCAGCTGTCTTCTCCATGTTGTGCTCTGAGTGGCATGGCCAGTAGCCAATAGCAGGTGTTGGTTTCTCCGAGCCAAGGTAGAGCTTATTCACTTCCTGTCATATTACATAACATTAATGTCCAGTGTACACGTCTTGTCTCAATAACGTCACGGTTCTCACCTAGTCTGGGATCCAAACTGCTCTGTTTCACTACTGCTGATCGGTGAAGTGACTCAATAGTGAAATCAAGCAATATTCAGTTTGGATTGTAGACTAGATCTCACCGCCACTTTACCTGAATCTACCAGCCCCAACTGCCAAGGGGGTGAATGTGGGGTTCTTTTTAGCGTTCTCTGTGATGTCTTATTGACCTACTTAGAGAGCCCCAGCTTACCAGTCTTCCAGTAAGTACTGGGAGATATAGCAGCACAACTACTGACCTCATTCCTGCTGACCCACTCCTCATTCCTGCTGACCCACTCTTTGGCCTCCATCTGTGAGTGTATCCCTGGCTTGTATCTATGGTCCTGCACTGGACTTTCCGTGGTTCATGATGGATGCTAATCAATGTGCGCCTTGCTACCACACAGCTGTGACCTTCATGTTGTCCAACTTGACCCTCATGCATCAGGGAATTGGTGATTGGAGCATACTGATTGCTGAAAGGCCCTCTCTTACCCTTAAGGTATATTATTTTTGAATGAAGATCTACTCAACCATTTAATAAATTCAGCTGCCTGAAATATAGCCTGGTTCCATCCTTATAATCTCATTGCTCATGTGATGAGGATGGATGGGAATCTGAGTTACTAACCCCTCATCAGGGAGAGATAGCTCCAGCTCCTTTGTTTTCACAGAGGATGTGTCTGCTTTCTGGACCCCTTTAATGGGATATTGTGTTGACCTTTACTAAGCCTGTGAGAAAAGCCACTGTGGAGAGATAGATCAGCTGGGTAGTTAAATTAAGAAGCCCAGTCAATCTGATTACCTAACCACACCTGTGGGGGCTTCAATTACAAGGGGACTGGACAATAATGGAACAAGGACACTGAATTTAGCTGCCTTCAGCTGCCAGAATTCAGCTGCTTGAAATATAGCCTGGTTCCGTCCTTATAATCTCATTGCTCATGTGATAAGGATGGATGGGAATCTGAGTTACTAACCCCTCAGCAGGGAGAAAAAATGGCATCTGGAAGAATTTCTCTTTTGAAATGATTGTGGAAGAATGTTTGAGAGAACATGTGTAATGAAGGCTGGTCTCGATATATGTCTTGTCCTGGTCATTGCAGTGAATGTACGATGGCATTGTTTCAGATCATCAACCTTTATAGAAAGCAAATGCTACCATCTGTTGAGAACCCATAACTAAGGAGGGAGAAGGCATGTACTGGACATCACTCTAGACTGTTCATGCTCAGCCAAAAACCTCAGACAAAATGGACCACTTGAGCCTAATTCCTCTCCAGTGATACACAGGGGATTTATGAGAATCTCTGAGCTGAGCTGAGCTGAGGCTACACAGAAACCTTATACAGTATATGTGAGACAGAGAGCCAGGTGAGAGCCTGAGAGTACATATATGGTGTGGTTGTGTTCTCAAAGGGAGACTGGGCTGGAAATGACTGAGGGCAGTCCAGTTCACACGCTTCCATTGTCACTGGTAGGAGTTCAGCAGCAATTACACACCAGTGGGTTGGTTTATATGGGGGTTATTAGGCCTTGGAGGAATGCTCTGTTCTCAGGCTTTGTACTGTACTGTTCAATACAGGGTTTGGATGTCAGGATGATATGATGGTCAAGGAAAATGTAGGAGTGAATGTGGTGGTGGAGGAAGGTGTGTGTGTAGTTCTGTGTCTGCCTGAGTATGTGTGTGTGTGAGTATGTGTGTGTGTGAGTATGTGTGTGAACGTGTGTGTGTGTTGTATCTAACCCTTTGTCTGTCTGTTTTCAGGAGGGAGAAGAGAGCAAGGGTGCGACTAGCTGGCCAGAGTTCTACATCGACCAGTTGAATTCCATGGCTGCTGTAAGTGTCCTTCTCCCCTCATCAAATACCCAATCTGTAATGCACAACAACCAGCCAACCATGAAGACATGCTGTAGACATGTGATTTGGGTGTTCCACTAGCCGCTACGGGCATCTCTCTAAAAGCTTATGGTCTGATGCTAAATCTTTGGGAAATTTGAGTAAATTAGGGGGGGTAATATCAATTAGTTTTATAGGAGGAGGGGATCTGTGTGTGTGTCTTTTTATAACGCTAGATATGTCTTGCATCTGTAAACAACTATGAAAACCCTCACAGTATTATATTAGTCAAAGATACCTTTATTTAGTATGACCTTTATTTAACCTGGTAAGGTATTGAAAATGATGATGACCTGAGAAGGCTTGTCCACCTGAACATGCACTATTTGACAAGCTGATGAAGTTAACCTGTGTTACCTCAAAGGATTCTCACACCCTGGAGGTGTGGTATTAAATCTCCACACACTTCCTCTGGAGCTGAGGCAGTAGTCCTGGGAGGGGGAACCCTGTGGGCTATTTTATAATCATTTTCCCAGGGCACTAGAGTAGCACTAGGGCTGGCAGGTGAGAGCTTCTGGTTGGATCCCTAACCTCTAACTGTTAATACAGTGTGTAGCCTGCGCCAGACCCTGTAGAGGAAATGAACTCCAGTCATGTATCCGTGAAGGAACTAGCAGTGGGCTGCTGGGATAATGGGATAAGAGCTGCCTGCTGTTGGTCTACAGCCAGGGATACTAGTTTACTGAGCAGGTTCCTTCCTAGCACCGTGAATCATAGGTCAGGGGGTCAAAGTTCATCTGGCCTGGGAACAAAGAGAGAACCGTAATGGTCCTAGAACAGAGCCTTGCGGGACATAATTTGAGTTTGATAAGTGAGTACATTGTCATTGAGTCTTCTCGTCTAACAAGTTTTCTCAATGTTTTCATCAACAGAGGAAGACTCTTATTGCTCTGGAAATGGAGGATGAGGAAGAGAGGAACAAGACCATAGAGAGCTTGAAGACCGCTCTAAGGACTCAACCCATGAGGTATACCAGTGACACTGATACACTCATGCTCCTTTTCATGCATACTTGTTCTCATATGCATGCATTCAGTTATGATGTGCGCTATGTACAGTATGTGTTTGTGAAACCGAAGGCCGAAAACTGAAGAATTGCAGTGCGACGTTACTTCACTGGATAGCCTTGCTTGTGAGAAGGACCCATTGTAATAATATCCATTTAGATAACATGATATAGAGTTTCCTTTTATTTTCTGAGTCATTAATTCTGATAAACTCATATTCTATTTTCTATAAGTCATAATAGAGGATGACAAATCAAATCAAATGTTATTTGTCACATGCTTCGTAAACAACAGGTGTAGACTAACAGTGAAATGCTTACTTACAGGCACTTCCCAACAGTGCAGAGAATGCCTTAGTGAGTCTGCTATTTGCACAAAGGAGGTTGGGTTAATTCACTGTGCTTAGAGTCTCCCAGAGTCCATTCATCGTCATTAGAGTGATCTAATATGATTCATCAATAGGCTAGACTTCGTGTTGAGAGCCATTCAACAGCCCCAGCTCATTCATTATGCTGCCACTTCCCTCTCCAGTCCAAACACCACTGCACTAATATGATATTACAGCCCTGTAGCCCACACATAATAGACTAGCCAGACACACACACACACACACACACACACACACACACACACACACACACACACACACACACACACACACACACACACACACACACACACACACACACACACACACACACACACATGGCATAATACGTCTTCTCCTTAAGGTCCTCCAGAGGTTAGGTCAACACTGCCCTTCTCACCTCTGACCTCTAACCCCTCCCAAGTGTTATGGTAGTCTGTAACCAATGTGCTTTCTCTGTTTTCCTCCAGCCTGTGTTATTGTGCTAAATGGTGCTTGACTGCTGGCTAAAGATGTTTATTTTTCCACTGTTCAATTCCACTAGCTTATATTGAACATGCATACGAACAGACGCACGCACACTCCCATACACCTGTCACTAATGTTTATAGCTTCCATCTCTCCATTTTCTAATGAAACCCAGTCAACTACGAAATTAGTTTCTCTCGTCAAAGTAAAAGAGGGGTGTAGTAGTCACTGATTGTGTATTGTTCAGGAACAGAATGGTATTTATAGTAAATGTTATCTGTTTCTGGGTCCATCCAAAATTGCATCCTATTCTCTACGTAGTGCACTACATTTGACCAGGGCCCATAGGGCTCTGGTCATAAATCGTGTACTACATAGGGAATAGGGTGCCATTTCGATGCTGCTTCTGTCTCTGACCTTTAACCTCAATCCTCCTCTTCCTCTAAAGGTTTGTGACGCGGTTCATCGACCTGGACGGCCTAACCTGCATCCTGAACTTCCTGAAGAGCATGGACTACGAGACCACCGAATCCCAGATCCACACGTCGCTGATCGGCTGCATCAAGGCTCTGATGAACAACTCCCAGGGCCGCTCCCATGTGCTCTCTCACACAGAGAGCATCAACATCATTGCCCAGAGCCTGGCCACTGAGAACGTCAAGACCAAGGTGGCGGTGCTGGAGATCATGGGCGCTGTTTGTCTGGTGCCAGGAGGCCACAGGAAGATCCTGGAGGCCATGCTGCACTACCAGAAGTTTGCATGCGAAAGGACTCGCTTCCAGGTGGAGGGACAGACACCTATACCTCATAGACATCACTGTAGCCAAGCGTTCACTAGGGATTTTCACACTGTAATGTGTTACCCCAAGGCTTTCCTTAACCCTGTGTTAAGACTGTCCCAGAGTTATGTTGCATGGTCTCATTCACTCAACAAATTGAACTTTCAGGCGTCACTCTAAATAGTGTTGTGTTTGCGACCACAGCAATGTTTTTCTTATGTCCATACACCTAGAATAACAATGTCTGTACTGATGCTTAGTCCTTCTTTCTCTCCTATGCTCCTGTCTTAGACTCTGCTGAATGACCTGGACAAGAGTACGGGGCGCTACAGGGACGAGGTCAATCTGAAAACAGCCATCATGTCCTTCATCAATGCAGTGCTCAGTCAGGGAGCAGGGGAGGTGAGGGCTCCTCTTCCTCTCTAAGTCTTTACCCTCTTATGGTCGTGTTGGTTGTCTTCAGAGAGTCTTAACTGCTATGTGTACTGTACTCCGCAGTCAAGCTTTGAGTTCAGAATTCACCTGAGGTACGAGTTCCTTATGTTGGGCATCCAGCCGGTCATCGATAAACTGAGGTCCCACGACAACTCAACGTTAGACAGGTGAGTGAAGTCAAGACTGGTATAGTACATTTCAGATCTAGACCACACTGTCATACCCAACTGCAGTAGATTGTGTCTGACCATGAGGTGTTTGTTGTCTTCCAGGCATTTGGACTTCTTTGAGATGCTGAGAAACGAGGATGAACTGTCTTTGGCAAAACGCTTTGACACCGTGAGTAACGATTGACCTATACAGTACATGTAGTTTACAATGGTCATTTCTCTGTCCACTAATATCACATTGTTGTTGTTGTTGCAGGTGCACATTGACACAAAAAGTGCCACACAAGTGTTTGAACTCATAAAGAAGAAGATGAGCCACACAGATGCACACCCACACTTTATATCTGTCTTACAACACTGTCTCCTTATGCCTTGTAAGTGCTGCTTGCCGTCCGCCATTTCTCTAAAGTTGTTTGAGTTCACCAAGACTCTTCAGACCTCTCCTCATTTTATATCTTTGAGAACTGGACAGTTTTTTTTCTCAGAGGGATCCAAAGTGGTTATAAATCAGTGTTTTTAATGCCTTTTTAGGACGGATGTTAAAATTACGTCCTCTCTAGGGAGTTCTAAATATCTGGAAATTATTGTTGGAATTCTGCCTATGTGAGGTATTTCTCTCTAGAAGGTATTCTATCTGTCGATAAGAACTTTCTACATTATAGCGGTAATGTTGTTCCTCCACATTGCTTTAGCTATGGTTATGTTGTCCTGAGGGAGCTGACTTCAGCCTGATCTCTCCACTTAGACTATCTCCTTAATGTGTTGCTATGTGTATGGTACTGTTTCCCGGACATGGATTTAGCCTAGTACTGGACTAAGAAGCACTCTCAATGGACAATCTCCATTGAACATGCGTTTTACTCCAGGACTATACTTAGTTTGTGTTCAGTAAACAGGCCCTAGGTCTTCATTGTTGCGTATGCATTGGCTGGTGCAATCAAATGTTCCATTTGTGTATTAATAAAGTGATCTCTTCTTTTCTCACAGACAAGCGTAGTGGGAACACGGTGCAGTACTGGCTCCTCCTGGACCGTATCGTCCAGCAGATCGTCCTGCAGAACGACAAAGGTCATGACCCTGACGTCACCCCTCTGGAGAACTTCAACGTGAAGAACGTGGTGCGAATGTGAGTGAGAGGAGAGGAACAAGAGGGGGATAAATGTTTTGACATGTTTGAGTCGGTTTGACGTCCTCCCCACCTCGCACGGCAGAGCACCGACTGTCTTCATCGTAAATCTCCATGTGTTATTTAACATGCTTCGTTCTAGAAATGGCTTTAAACCCAAATATGGTGATCATGACTAAAATCTGTACTGTATATTCACTCATGAGTTCATCTTATCCTCGGCTTAATACAGTGGCCATAATCATAATCACTCTTGATCAAGGTACTGTACATCACAAATACTAAATGTAAATCATAGCATTTCTATATATCTGTATTTCCCATGATCTCCTTCATTTTACAATCCTTTTCAATACTATCTGCTGGTCTAGCATGAATACCCTGATCCCTTAATACTCGCCACAAATCAGCAAGTCATTTTGTGGATTTTACCGGGATTTTCATAATTTGTTTTTGGAAATATAATCCCAAACTCTTAATCCATAGTGAAAGCACTTTGATCTGGTTTTTGGATGAAGAAGTCAGTGAGATGTACATTTCCAAACACACATAGACAGAAACGTCAGTCAACCCCCTGCAGCTGCCTCTTGCAAATCTCAATCAGACTCTGGGTATAAAGTCTGACTGTCTCTGGTTAGGTTTAGAAGAAGCTTACAGGTTCCCTGTTGTTAACTCTGATCACCAATGACTTGTCTAATTAATCTGTTTTTATAACTAAGCCTATGCCTAACCTCAGTGGGATGTAATGCCTAGTGGGATTGTGCAGTGGTGTTGTGATGTCTTAATACCTCAGATACCTAGCCTAACCTCCTCTGTTCTTCTGCTCAGGCTGGTTAACGAGAATGAAGTCAAACAGTGGAAAGAACAGGCTGAGAAAATGAGAAAAGGTACACACACTAATGGTCTCTGGTTTCTATTAGCAATGGAACTGTCGAAAGGCAGACCCTCCTGTACTGTGTATCATCATACTGCTGACTGCTCTGGTCTGGTCTGGTTTGGTTTGATCTGGTGTGCTCTGATCTGGTCTGGTCTGGTATGATCTGATCTGGTCTGAACTGGTCTGATTTCTCAGACCACCATGAGCTGCAGCAGAAGTTTGACAAGAAGGAACGTGAATGTGACGCCAAGACCCAGGAGAAGGAGGACATGATGCAGACGCTGAATAAGATGAAGGAGAAGCTGGAGAAAGAGTCCAGTGAGCACAAGCAGGTCAAGCAGCAAGTGGCCGACCTCTCCGCCCAGCTGCATGACCTCAGCACTGTACGTTTGTTTGTTTAGATCTCTGTTCTAGTTCACGATAGGGCTAATCTTCCAAGACTCCATAGAAAAACATAGAAAATACAATTGCATTAGAAAATGCATTGTAATTTCATGTTACACAATCACATCTTTACATCCTCCTCCTCCCTTTAGCTTTTCCAATCAGGAATAAATGCACAATGTTTTGGTTATGGCACAGTTGAATATCAAACATGGCCTCTGTCCTCGTAGTCTGTTCCCAGATCTGTTTATGCTGTCTTGCGAACTCCTATGGTCATTGTCATGCTAAACAACAACCATAGGAGTTGGCTATACAGCGCGACAGATTTGGGACCAGGCTAATGTCTTCTTTCGGATTTATTTGACAATTTAAAAACTCAAATACAACCACAAATGTGGATACAATGCAACAAAAACCTTTGAGGATAAAAAGGAAACGTTAAAAACATATTTGTATTGTGGTTCTGTTCAAACATCAAACAAACACATTCACAGCTAAAAGCTGAATTGAAGTAAACAACACATGGCCTAAATAATTCAACTGTGCAAAGACCAAAACAATAACACATTTTCAATAGTCCTCCAGATGACAGCGGTTGCTGTCCTTGGTAAATAGCTTGCAAAACTAGCTAGCCAGCGTCCTTCACTGTCCAAACCGCATGGTTTTCCCCTTAGCTCAGTTTAGGAGCGGATACACAGGATGTTTGATTAGAGCACAGTTAGACATGAACATCCACACAACAACATTGCCTTGTGATGTTCTTCCAAGTCAATATATGTTGATTAGAACTGCTCTAGCTAGTACAGAGTGTTTCTAGGATTTCCATTATGGAACATAGATAATGTTGTAGTACGTCCAGTACTAATCGAATGTACATCCCAATGTCTCCCATCGTTTTCAGAGACCAAATCCAAGTGTTCCTGGTGGTCCTCCATTCATACCTGGGGCCCCTGGAGGTCCCATACCCCCACCTCCCATGCAGGCTGGCATGCCCCCAGCCCCTCTACCACTCACTCAGGGCATGCCTCCACCACCACCGCCACCCCCTCCACCCGGTGGACCCCCACCGCCTCCGGGCATGGCTCCCTTCGGTCTCCCTCCTCCCCCTGGAGCTCCAATGGGACCTGGGCTTAAGAAGAAGAACATCCCCCAGCCCTCCAACCCACTCAAGTCATTCAACTGGGCCAAGCTGGCTGAGGTCAGTGAGTGCTGCTTAGTCAGGTACCAGCCCTTAATTTTGACCAGCCCTATGGACCCTGATCAAAATTAATGCACTTAGTAGGGAATAGGGTGCCATTTGGGACATGTTTTGTGCATCTCTGTCCATAACAGAGGGAGTGATTGTTGTGCTGCTGAGGCAGACAGAAAATAGTTTTTTTTGTAGTTACACCTCAGTGGCCAGGGGTAATGAAGGATAAGGAAGGCCCAATGCTTTATCTCTTGCATTGTTTGCACAATGGCATGAAATCAATATAGCAAACAAGCCCTGGGTGTGTTTTTATGTTGTTGTAGTAACCTTTAGAGTTCCAGGGGTGTATGTATGGCCTGTGTTGTAATTGACTCAGCTATTACAGTCTTAGTTATGGATGGGGGCTGTTTTGATTTGTTGCAGAATAAGCTGGAGGGCACTGTGTGGACGGACGTCGATGACATCAAGGTTTTCAAAATCCTGGACCTTGAGGACATCGAGAAGACCTTCTCTGCATACCAGAGACAGCAGGTACAGTCTAACACCTAAATACCAAAGTATTACTGTAGGGAAATGGCATTTCAGTATATAGCAATTCACCCTTAAGGACAAGATACAAGACCCCAAATCAATTTGCATGTAACTACTCGGAGCGTTTCCATGGCCACCGACCATGCTGTTCCAGCAAATACTGCTTGCTAGTGATAAACACATGCATGCCATTGCACTCCGTAACTGAATCCTTCCAGCAGCACTTCTCAACACATTGTCTGGAACTGGCTCAGAAGGATATCAGGCCATTACAGTGCTTTTTTTAATAGCCTGGTCTCAGATCAGTTTGTGCTGTCTTGCCAACACCTAGGATGACAATGACCATAAGGATTGGCAAGACAGCACAAACAGATCTGGGACCAGGCTATCTTTTTTAGGTCTGTTCAAATTAGTCATCTACAGTGAGGGAAAAAAGTATTTGATTCCCTGCTGATTTTGTACATTTGCCCACTGACAAAGACATGATCAGTCTATAATTTTAATGGTAGGTTTATTTGAACAGTGAGAGACAGAATAACAACAAAAAAATCCAGAAAAACACATGTCAAAAATGTTATAAATTGATTTGCATTTTAATGAGGGAAATAAGTATTTGACCCCTCTGCAAAACATGACTTAGTACTTGGTGGAAAAACCCTTGTTGGCAATCACAGAGGTCAGACGTTTCTTGTAGTTGGCAACCAGGTTTGCACACATCTCAGGAGGGATTTTGTCCCACTCCTCTTTGCAGATCTTCTCCAAGTCATTAAGGTTTCGAGGCTCCCTCCACAGATTTTCTATGGGATTAAGGTCTGGAGACTGGCTAGGCCACTCCAGGACCTTAATGTGCTTCTTCTTGAGCCACTCCTTTATTGCCTTGGCTGTGTGTTTTGGGTCATTGTCATGCTGGAATACCCATCCACGACCCATTTTCAATGCCCTGGCTGAGGGAAGGAGGTTCTCACCCAAGATTCGACGGTACGTGGCCCGTCCATCGTCCCTTTGATGCGGTGAAGTTGTCCTGTCCCCTTAGCAGAAACACCCCCAAAGCATAATGTTTCCACCTCCATGTTTGACGGTGGGGATGGTGTTCTTGGGGTCATAGGCAGCATTCCTCCTCCTCCAAACACGGCGAGTTGAGTTGATGGCAAAGAGCTCAATTTTGGTCTCATCTGACCACAACACTTTCACCCAGTTCTCCTCTGAATCATTCAGATGTTCATTGGCAAACTTCAGACGGGCCTGTATATGTGCTTTCTTGAGCAGGGGGACCTTGTGGGCGCTGCAGGATTTCAGTCCTTCACGGCGTAGTGTGTTACCAATTGTTTTCTTGGTGACTATGGTCCCAGCTGCCTTGAGATCATTGACAAGATCCTCCCGTGTAGTTCTGGGCTGATTCCTCACCGTTCTCATGATCATTGCAACTCCACGAGGTGAGATCTTGCATGGAGCCCCAGGCCGAGGGAGATTGACAGTTATTTTGTGTTTCTTCCATTTGCAAATAATCGCACCAACTGTTGTCACCTTCTCACCAAGCTGCTTGTCGATGGTCTTGTAGCCCATTCCAGCCTTGTGTAGGTCTACAATCTTGTCCCTGACAACCTTGGAGAGCTCTTTGGTCTTGGCCATGGTGGAGAGTTTGGAATCTGATTGATTGATTGCTTCTGTGGACAGGTGTCTTTTATACAGGTAACAAGCTGAGATTAGGAGCACTCCCTTTAAGAGTGTGCTTCTAATCTCAGCTCATTACCTGTATAAAAGACACCTGGGAGCCAGAAATCTTTCTGATGGAGAGGGGGTCAAATACTTATTTCCCTCATTAAAATGCATATCAATGTATAACATTTTTGACATGCGTTTTTCAGGATTTTGTTGTTGTTATTCTGTCTCTCACTGTTCAAATAAACCTACCATTAAAATTATAGACTGATCATGTCTTTGTCAGTGGGCAAACGTACAAAATCAGCAGGGGATCAAATAATTTTTTCCCTCACTGTACCTTGTGAGTGTTATGGGGAACCAGACATAACAGGAATGTTTGCAACAGGAAGTAGCCATACTGATAACATGGTCCTTGGATAGTTTACTAGTGCTGCATGCGAAGTGAGGCATATTTCACTAAGCCTCTATATGTCCACATTGTCTACTGTAGTTCAATTGAAATCCTCCAGATAGCTTTTCCCATAACCAACCTAATAAGACTGTGATTGTAAAGGTTATACTAGGGCCCTATTCCCATTACTAACTGCCCTTAAGGGTACAAATAAAGTTGCATGGAATTCCTTTAGTCTTATAAGGACTTTATGAGTTTTAAGCCATGCTGTCTATGATGTGTCTGAACACAGTTATTTGCATCTCTGACTCACTCTGCTACTCAGGATTCTGCTTGTCCTCACAAACAAATGCATCACTGATCTGCTGAGCTGGCCCTTTTTTTGCTGTAATTCACCATACATAGCCTACTGCATCTTGTAATTAATAATAATGAATGCTGCATCTTCCTTGCTTTCTGCCCATTCGCCTGTTTAGGACTTCTTAACATTGAACAATAAGGTGAGTGACCTCTGTCCTCTCTATGTGACCTTTACCCTGCTCTGCCTTTGCGACGTGTCTGTCTTCATGCTCGTTACCGTCCTTCATCGTACGCTTCTCTCTCTCTCTCTCTCACTCGACTCTGTCCTGTTTATGTCTGCATGGGGATTGGTGGGCATGTGTGTATTTCTCTGTGTGTGTGTATTTCTGTGTGTGTGTGTGTGTATTTCTGTGTGTGTGTGTGTGTGTGTGTGTCTGTGTCGATAGGTGAAATGTCTTCCTGCAGCCTCAGTGTTTCTGTGCATTCATTCTTTCAGTCAATAGCTAGATGATGTCTTTTTAGAATATACTTCTAAACACACTACCACGTTGTTTGAATGAACTATTTCAGTTTTATTGGTTACCATTTCAAGATGTTTCTGTGCATAATTAGCCAAATTGGTTTTGTGGCACGCAGTCAATTCTGCAAGCAGCTGGAGTCTTGCAACTATAAAAAGTGCCAGATATCCTTTTTCCAAAAACAAATCTCTCCTGTATTCTTTGAGTGAAGCCCCCCAAATAAACACATGCACTTATTCACCAAACACACCATTTCCCACAGTCTGTTTCCCTGCTGCCCTCCATTTGGCAGTTTCAAATACTGACCCAGTCAGAGTAACAATTTGCTGTTTTATGTTCATACTGTGGTCTCCTGTGCATCTTGGGCTTTTGTTAAGGTTTATGGTGCATGCATATGGGTATTGTGTCTAGTCTTTTTGTGTTTATGTGTGTGTGTGTGTCACTATCTGGTGTCTATTTGCCTGTTGTTGACCGGTTACTATGCACCATCGTTTTTATGGAGATAATATGAGACAGCAGGTGGGGAAATGGAAGAAGCCTTAATAAAAACACTTGTTCCCATTGCCGTTGTTCAACAGCTAAAAAGTATGCAGATGTGAGTCAGCCACAGCCCTCCACCAAACAGCCTTGGGGCACTGTTATTCATGGTCCGTATTCATTAGGAACTAAATGAAAACTGACTGAAACAGGGAGGGATTACATGGACTTATATCATAAGAAACGCTCATTTTTGTTTTCCGTTGCAAAATGTTTTGCTGAGTGTGCCCTAATGAATACAACCCTGGTGTACTGGGTGTGGCTCTTTCTCCCAGAGAAAGTAATTTTAAGGTCATGTAGTCACAAGATTTTACTGCGTTCAGCAAATACTCCATACAAAAGTGCTTAAGTGTGATGAATGATATACAATTGTGTGTTTATTAAACAGTAACGCAGTCAAACTCTAGCTCTGTTAGTGTGTCATTTAAGGTCATATACAGTAGTACAACAAGACGTTGTTGTGTTCTGCATGCTAGCCTTCATCCAAAAGTGCCTAAGTATGATAAATGATATAATATTGTGTGTTTATATGAATGCAACGTAAAGTTCAGCTGTTGGATGTAATCCACTGAGGATTACTGTTCATGTTCCAACTCTTCCCTCCCTCCCAAATGTTCTCCGTCCAGAAAGAGTCTGAAGATGACACAGTGACCTCCAAGAAGGTCAAGGAGCTGTCAGTCATCGACGGTCGCAGAGCCCAGAACTGTAACATCCTCCTCTCTCGGTTAGTAATTTACAGTTTTTACCCCATGACAACATGGCAGAAGTATGTCCTACTTATAGTAGTGGAGATCACTTATTGTGATTGTATCCATCTGATGGGTGCTTGAAATGGCTCTCTCATCACACGCATGTATGCACATGCACGTACACACACACACACACACACACACACCTCTGTTACTGTACACAGCCAAGTTACATTAAATGCAGATTTACTCTACCATTTGAGCAATTATGTATTTACATCAATTTCAACTCGAGTTGAGAGAAAATGTTTCATATTTGACGATGTGTTTAAGCATCAAGTGCAGCCAAGAATGATATATGTATTTTTGTAATGGAATGATGTTGGTCAGGAACTATTTTCTGTTTCATTACTGTCCTCCCTGGTCTCCATGGCAGCAACCACAAACAAAGAGGGCTGTGTCTTTTCTACAAAGTTAATTTCATGTAGCTATCATTCTCAATTTAACAACTGTGAATGAAACTTAGAAGTTTAAGGGATTCAGCTATTTTTATTGCTTCCTGTTTCATTCAATTTTTATGGTTACAAATGGTGGTTCATTCCTTTTGCCAACTTGCAGACCTGAAAATATGCAAAGTGAGATAAGTTATGCATTAACATGCCTTTTTACTCTTAGCCAACACTTTGAATAAGGCATATATGTATTTAATAATATTGTCATAACTGAACCTTAATTGCTCTGTCATTAGTGTGTGTCTAAATCAGGCATGCTGAATGTGAGACATCCAAAGTCCTGCCAGAAAGCACCGTGGTCTGCGGTGGTAGGCTAGTGCTTCAGGCCTAGCTCCTTTACAGCCTTGTGTGTGTGTGTCTGTTCGTGTGTGGAGAGCTACCCTGTGTTTCTGCCCAAGTCTTTTAGAACTAACTGTGTGTTCATTGGTTTCCTGGCACATGATGATTGTGTTGGTGTGCCAGTGGAGTCTCAGTGTTCAGGCTCAGGCTGTCTGCCACCTGCTCTCTCAGGCTGGCTGGGGGCTAGTAGCTTAAAACATTGACTCTTTGTTTCTGCAACTGCTAAGTGTTCGGGACAGGTTATTTAGCTCGTGACTTTACTCTCTTTATGACTGACACTTACAGTGATTTTCAAAATGGATACTACAACTCTAAATTGACTTACTGATTATTGTGTGAGGCGACACATATAGAACAGTACATAACATGGATGTTAAAACAAACTGTAAACACATCAATAACAAGACATTAACTGGTAAAACTGGTGTCCTCTCCTATTGACCATTTTAGATGTGATGTACAGTAGTCCTCTGTGGTAATGATGATGCTGTTGTGTTGCAGGCTGAAGCTGACCAATGAGGAGATCAAGAGGGCCATACTGACTATGGACGAACACGAGGATCTGCCCAAGGACATGCTGGAGCAGGTGGGCCCTCCTCTCTCTCTCTCTCTCTGATACAGCATGTAGCCCTCCTCTCTCTCTCTCTGATACAGCATGTAGCACTCCTCTCTCTCTCTCTGATACAGCATGTTGCACTCCTCTCTCTCTCTCTCTGATACAGCATGTTGCCCTCCTCTCTCTCTCTCTCTCTTTGATATAGCATGTAGCCCTCCTCTCTCTCTCTCTCTCTCTCTCTCTCTCTGATACAGCATGTAGCCCTCCTCTCTCTCTCTCTGATACAGCATGTTGCCCTCCTCTCTCTCTCTCTGATACAGCATGTAGCACTCCTCTCTCTCTCTCTGATACAGCATGTAGCCCTCCTCTCTCTCTCTCTGATACAGCATGTAGCCCTCCTCTCTCTCTCTCTGATACAGCATGTTGCCCTCCTCTCTCTCTCTCTGATACAGCATGTAGCACTCCTCTCTCTCTCTCTGATACGCATGTAGCACTCCTCTCTCTCTCTGATACAGCATGTACCCTCCTCTCTCTCTCTCTGATACAGCATGTAGCACTCCTCTCGCTCTCTGATACAGCATGTAGCACACTCCCTCCTCTCTCTCTGATACAGCATGTTGGCCCTCCTCTCTCCTCTCTCTCTACAATCGCCTCTCTCTCATCTTCTCTCCTCTCCATCTCTCTCTCTCATCTCTCTCTCCTCTCTCTCTCCTCCTCTCTCTCCTCTCCTCTTCTCTCTCTCTCTCCTCTACCCGCTCTCTCTCTCTCTCAAGTTCAATTTTGCACAATTTAAGGGCTTTATTGGCAGGGAAACGTGTTGTTAACATTGGCCAAAGCAAGTGAAGTAGATAGTAAACAAAAGTGAAATAAACAATAAATATTAACAGTAAACATTACACTCAGAAGTTTCAAAAGAATAAAGACATTTCAAATGTCATATTATGTATATATACAGTGTTGTAACAATGTGCAAATAGTTAAAGTACAAATGGGAAAATAAATAAACATAAATATGGGTTTGTATTTACAATGGTGTTTGTTCTTCACTGGTTGCCCTTTTCTTGTGGCAACAGGTCACAAATCTTGCAGCTGTGATGGCACACTGTGGTTTTTCACCCAGTAGATAAGGGAGTTTATCAAAATTGGATTTGTTTTCGAATTCTTTGTAGATCGCTGTAATCTGAGGGAAATATGTGTCTCTAATATGGTCATACATTTGGCAGGAGGTTAGGAAGTGCAGCTCAGTTTCCACCTCATTTTGTGGGCAGTGTGCACATAGCCTGTCTTCTCTTGAGAGCCAGGTCTGCCTACGGCGGCCTTTCTCAATAGCAAGGCTATGCTCACTGAGTCTGTACATAGTCAAAGCTTTCCTTAAGTTTGGGTCAGTCACAGTGGTCAGGTATTCTGCCACTGTGTACTCTCTGTTTAGGGCCAAATAGCATTCTAGTTTGCTCTGTTTTTTTGTTTGTTCTTTCCAATGTGTCAAGTAATTCTCTTTTTGTTTTCTCGTGATTTGGTTGGGTCTAGTTGTGTTGTTGTTGTTGTTGTCCTGGGGCTGTGTGGGGTCTGTTTGTGTTTGTGAACAGAGCCCCAGGACAAGCTTACTTAGGGGACTCTTCTCCAAGTTCATCTCTCTGTAGGTGATGGCTTTGTTATGGAAGGTTTGGGAATCGCTTCCTTTTAAGTGGTTATAGAATTTAACGGCTCTTTTCTGGATTTTGATAATTAGCGGGTATTGGCCTAATTCTGCTCTGCATGCATTATTTTGTGTTTTACGTTGTACACGGAGGATGTTTTTGCAGAATTCTGCATGCAGAGTCTCAATTTGGTGTTTGTCCCATTTTGTGAATTCTTGGTTGGTGAGCGGACCCCAGACCTCAGAACCATAAAGGGCAATGGGTTCTATAACTGATTCAAGTATTTTTAGCCAGATCCTAATTGGTATGGCAAATTTTATGTTCCTTTTGATGGCATAGAAGGCCCTTCTTGCCTTGTCTCTCAGATCGTTCACAGCTTTGTGGAAGTTACCTGTGGCGCTGATGTTTAGGCCGAGGTATGTATAGTTTTTTGGTGTGCTCTAGGGCAACGGTGTCTAGATGGAATTTGTATTTGTGGTCCTGGCAACTGGACCTTTTTTGGAAACACCATTATTTTTGTCTTACTGAGATTTACTGTCAGGGCCCAGGTCTGACAGAATCTGTGTCAAAAGATCTAGGTGCTGCTGTAGCCCTCCTTGGTTGGTGACAGAAGCAACTCTCTCTCTCTCCGTCTCTCTCTCTCTCTCTGATAAAGCATCTTTCTTATTCCCCCTCTTCATCTCTCTCTTTATTTTCTATTACAGAAAATGTAGCCTTTTCTCCTTCTTCTCTTCTTGATACACATGTAAACCCTATCTTCTCTTGATACAGGGATGTTGCTCTCTCTCTCTCTCCTATCTTTTCCCCTCTCATTTAAACATATAGCCCTTCCCTCCTCTCTTTTTTCTTGATACAGATTTTTGACCTATCTTTTTCTGATAAATCATGTTGCCCCTCTTCTCTCTCTTCCTCTCCTCTCTCTCTTCTCTTTTCTCTCTCTATTTTCGCATGTAGCTTCCCCTCTCTGATACAGGAATTTTTAAGCTCTGCTCTCTCCTTTTCTGAACAGCATTAGTTTCTTTTTTCTTCCTCCTCTCTCTCTCTCTCTGATATAGCATGTGCCCCCCCCTTTTTCTGATTTAAAAAATGTTTTCTCTCTTCTCCTCTCCTCTTCCTCTCTCTCTCTCTGATACAGCATAAGCTCTCTTCTCTTTTGAACAACATTTTTAAGGGTTTTTTCTCTTCCTCTTTCTCTCTCGCTCTTCTCTGTAAAAAGGCCCCTTTTAGCCCCATCCTTTTCTCTCTCTCTCTCTCTCTCTCTCTCTCCTTCTCTCTCCCCCTCTATCTTGATACAGCATGTTTGTTTTCCTCTCTCGCTTTTTCTCTGATTTAGCATGTTTGCCCTCCCCTCTTCTCTCTGATACGGGATGTAGCTTTTCTTCTTCCCCTTATCTTCTCTCTTTTTCTCTCTTTATTTCAGGGATATAGCCCCTTTACTCTCTTTTTCTTTTTCCCGATAAGCAAAGTAGCCCCCCTTTCTCTTGATACAGCAGTAGCTCTCTCTCGAAACTCCTCGCGCTTTTCTCGCTCTCTCGCTTCTCTCTTCTTTTTGCATGTACTCCTCCCTTTCTTTCTTTCCTTTGCTTTCCTCTTTTTGATATAGAAAGTTGCCCTCCCTTCTCTCCCCTGATAAGCATGTAGTCTCTCTCTCCCCCTCTCTTCTCTCTCTCTCCCCCCCCTTTTCCTCTTTTCTCTCTCTCTCCTCTCTCTCTTTCTTTCAGCCATAGCCCTTAACTCTCCCTTTTCCTGGGAAAAGCATGTAGCCCTCCCTTCTCTCTATACAGCATGGTTTCTTCTCTTCTCTCTCTCTCTCTCTCTCTCTTGATTTCAGCCGATTTTGCTCCTCCCCTTTATACCGCCGTAGCCTTTTCTCTCTCTCTCCTCTCTTGATAAATCAATTTGGGTTCTCCCCTCTTCTCTGATATAGAAAGTAGCCCTCCTCTCTCTCTGAACAGGATGTTTCTCTCTCTCTCTTTCTCTCCTCTCTTTGAACAGCATATAGCTCTCTCTTCTCCTTCCCCTTGGGTTTCAGCATTTTAGGGTTCACTCTCTCTGCTTCTCTCTGATCCCGCATGTAGCTTTTTCCCCTTTATACGCATTTTTGCCTCATCTCTCTCTCTCTCTCCTCTGATAAAGCATGTTTGCTCTCTTCTCTGATACAGCATGTTTCTCTCTCTCTTCCTATTCTCTCTCTTCTGAACAGCAGATCTCCTCTCTCTGATAAAAGCATGTTTTGGGTCTCTTCTCTCTTTTCTCTCTCCCGATTACCGGGAGGAGCCCCCCTCTCTCTCTCCTTTAACGCCCTGTTTTCTCCCCTCTCTCTCTCCCCTCTTGAAGATTAGTCTTCTCCTGATACAGTTTTTAGCTCTCTCTTTTCTCTCTCTCCCCTATGTACAGCATGTAGCTCTCTCTCTCTCTCTCTCTGATATAGCATGTAGCCCTCCTCTCTCTCTCTGATACAGCATGTTGCTCTCTCTCTCTCGCTCTCTCTCTGATACAGCATGTAGCTCTCTCTCTCTCTCTCTCTCTCTCGCTCTCTCTCTGATACAGCATGTAGCTCTCTCTCTCTCTCGCGCTCTCTCTGATACAACATGTAGCTCTCTCTCTCTCTCTCTCTCTCTCTCTCTCTCTCTCTCTCTCTCTCTCTCTGATACAGCATGTAGCCCTCCTCTCTCTCTCTGATACAGCATGAAGCTCTCTATCTCTCTCTCACTCTCTCTGATACAGCATGTAGCTCTCACTCTCTCTCTCTCTGATACAGCATTTAGCTCTCTCTCTCATTCTCTCTCTCTGATATAGCATGTAGCTCTCTCTCTCGCTCTCTCTCTGTATCTGATACAGCATGTAGCTCTCTCTCTCTCTCTGATACAGCATGTAGCTCTCTCTCTCTCTCACTCTCTCTGATACAGCATGTAGCTCTCTCTCTCTCTCTCTTGCGCTCTCTCTGATACAGCATGTAGCTCTCTCTCTCTCTCGCTCTCTCTTATACAGCATGTAGCCCTCCTCTGTCTCTCTCTCAATTCAATTCAATTTAAGGGCTTTATTGGCATGGGAAACGTATGTTAACATTGCCAAAGCAAGTGAAGTAGATAGTAAACAAAAGTGAAATAAACAAAAAATATTAACAGTAAACATCACACTCAGAAGTTTCAAAAGAATAAAGACATTTCAAATGTCATATTATGTATATATACAGTGTTGTAACAATGTGCAAAGAGTTAAAGTACAAATGGGAAAATAAATAAACATAAATATGGGTTGTGTCACGATCGTTGTCGAACGAGAAGGACCAAGGCGCAGCGTGATATGCATTCATATTTATTTACGGCTAAACACACGACAAAACAACAAACGAAACGTGAAGTCCAAGGTAGCATACAACCAACATACCTTACACGGAACAAGATCCCACAACCCACTAGTGCCAACCGGCTACCTAAGTATGGTCCCCAATCAGAGACAACGAGCTACAGCTGCCTCTGATTGGGAACCACCCTGGCCAACATAGATCTAAACGATCTAGAAACTAAACATAGAAAACCCAACATAGCAACACACAACACGGAAATACACACCCTGACTCAACAAATACAAGTCCTCAGAGTCAGGGCGTGACAGTTTGTATTTACAATGGTGTTTGTTCTTCACTGGTTGCCCTTTTCTTGTGGCAACAGGTCACAAATCTTGCAGCTGTGATGGCACACTGTGGTTTTTCACCCAGTAGATAAGGGAGTTTATCAAAATTGGGTTTGTTTTCGTATTCTTTGTGGATCGCTGTAATCTGAGGGAAATATGTGTCTCTAATATGGTCATACATTTGGCAGGAGGTTAGGAAGTGCAGCTCAGTTTCCACCTCATTTTGTGGGCAGTGTGCACATAGCCTGTCTTCTCTTGAGAGCCAGGTCTGCCTACGACGGCCTTTCTCAATAGCAAGGCTATGCTCACTGAGTCTGTACATAGTCAAAGTTTTCCTTAAGTTTGGGTCAGTCACAGTGGTCAGGTATTCTGCCACTGTGTACTCTCTGTTTAGGGCCAAATAGCATTCTAATTTGCTCTGTTTTTTTGTTTGTTCTTTCCAATGTGTCAAGTAATTCTCTTTTAGTTTTCTCATGATTTGGTTGGGTCTAATTGTGTTGTTGTTGTTGTTGTTGTTGTTGTCCTGGGGCTGTGTGGGGTCTGTTTGTTTGTGAACAGAGCCCCAGGACCAGCTTACTTAGGGGACTCTTCTCCAAGTTCATCTCTCTGTAGGTGATGGCTTTGTTATGGAAGGTTTGGGAATCGCTTCCTTTTAAGTGGTTATAGAATTGAACGGCTCTTTTCTGGATTTTGATAATTAGCGGGTATTGGCCTAATTCTGCTCTGCATGCATTATTTGGTGTTTTACGTTGTACACAGAGGATGTTTTTGCAGAATTCTGCATGCAGAGTCTCAATTTGGTGTTTGTACCATTTTGTGAATTCTTGGTTGGTGAGCGGACCCCAGACCTCACAACCATAAAGGGCAATGGGTTCTATAACTGATTCAAGTTTTTTTAGCCAGATCCTAATTGGTATGTCAAATTTTATGTTCCTTTTGATGGCATAGATGGCCCTTCTTGCCTTGTCTCTCAGATCGTTCACAGCTTTGTGGAAGTTACCTGTGGCGCTGATGTTTAGGCCGAGGTATGTATAGTTTTTTGTGTGCTCTAGGGCAACGGTGTCTAGATGGAATTTGTATTTGTGGTCCTGGCAACTGGACCTTTTTTGGAACACCATTATTTTTGTCTTACTGAGATTTACTGTCAGGGCCCAGGTCTGACAGAATCTGTGCAGAAGATCTAGGTGCTGCCTGTTCTAGTGCCCTCGCCAATTCATTGATATTCAGTGGGGAGAACAAGTATTTGATACACTGCCGATTTTGCAGGTTTTCCTACTTACAAAGCATGTAGAGGTCTGTAATTTTTATCATAGGTACACTTCAACTGTGAGAGATGGAATCTAAAACAAAAATCCATAAAATCACATTGTATGATTTTTAAGTAATTAATTTGCATTTTATTGCATGACATAAGTATTTGATACATCAGAAAAGCAGAACTTAATATTTGGTACAGAAACCTTTGTTTGCAATTACAGAGATCAAATGTTTCCTGTAGGTCTTGACCAGGTTTGCACACACTGCAGCAGGGATTTTGGCCCACTCCTCCATACAGACCTTCTCCAGATCCTTCAGGTTTCGGGGCTGTCGCTGGGCAATACGGACTTTCAGCTCCCTCCAAAGATTTTCTATTGGGTTCAGGTCTGGAGACTGGCTAGGCCACTCCAGGACCTTGACATGCTTCTTACGGAGCCACTCCTTAGTTGCCCTGGCTGTGTGTTTCGGGTCGTTGTCATGCTGGAAGACCCAGCCACGACCCATCTTCAATGCTCTTACTGAGGGAAGGAGGTTGTTGGCCAAGATCTCGCGATACATGGCCCCATCCATCCTCACCTCAATATGGTGCAGTCGTCCTGTCCCCTTTGCAGAAAAGCATCCCCAAAGAATGATGTTTCCACCTCCATGCTTCACGGTTGGGATGGTGTTCTTGGGGTTGTACTCATCCTTCTTCTTCCTCCAAACATGGCAAGTGGAGTTTAGACCAAAAAGCTATATTTTTGTCTCATCAGACCACATGACCTTCTCCCATTCCTCCTCTGGATCATCCAGATGGTCATTGGCAAACGTCAGATGGGCCTGGACATGCGCTGGCTTGAGCAGGGGGACCTTGCGTGCGCTGCAGGATTTTAATCCATGACGGCGTAGTGTGTTACTAATGGGTTTCTTTGAGACTGTGGTCCCAGCTCTCTTCAGGTCATTGACCAGGTCCTGCCGTGTAGTTCTGGGCTGATCCCTCACCTTCCTCATGGTCATTGATGCCCCACTAGGTGAGATCTTGCATGGAGCCCCAGACCGAGGGTGATTGACCGTCATCTTGAACTTCTTCCATTTTCTAATAATTGCGCCAACAGTTGTTGCCTTCTCACCAAGCTGCTTGCCTATTGTCCTGTAGCCCATCCCAACCTTGTGCAGGTCTACAATTGTATCCCTGATGTCCTTACACAGCTCTCTGGTCTTGGCCATTGTGGAGAGGTTGGAGTCTGTTTGATTGAGTGTGTGGACAGGTGTCTTTTATACAGGTAACGAGTTCAAACAGGTGCAATTAATACAGGTAATGAGTGGAGAACAGGAAGGCCTCTTAAAGAAAAACTAACAGGTCTGTGAGAGCCGGAATTCTTACTGGTTGGTAGGTGATCAAATACTTATGTCATGCAATAAAATGCAAATGAATTACTTAAAAATCATACAATATGATTTTCTGGATTTTTGTTTTAGATTCCGTCTCTCACAGTTGAAGTGTACCTATGATAAAAATTACAGACCTCTACATGCTTTGTAAGTAGGAAAACCTGCAAAATCGGCAGTGTATCAAAAACTTGTTCTCCCCACTGTATATGTTGAAGAGAGTGGGGCTTAAACTGCATCCCTGTCTCACCCCACGGCCCTGTGGAAAGAAATGTGTGTTTTTTGCCAATTTTAACCGCACACTTGTTGTTTGTGTACATGGATTTTATAATGTCGTATGTTTTTCCTCCAACCCCACTTTCCATCAATTTGTATAGCAGACCCTCATGCCAAATTGAGTCGAAAGCTTTTTTGAAATCAACAAAGCATGAGAAGACTTTGCCTTTGCCTTTGTTTTGGTTTGTTTGTTTGTCAATTAGGGTGTGCAGGGTGAATACGTGGTCTGTCGTACGGTAATTTGGAAAAGGCCAATTTGACATTTGCTCAGTACATTGTTTTCACTGAGGAAATGAACTAGTCTGCTGTTAATGATAATGCAGAGGATTTTCCCAAGGTTGCTGACGCATATCCCACGGTAGTTATTGGGGTCAAATTTGTCTCCACTTTTGTGGATTGGGGTGATCAGTCCTTGGTTCCAAATATTGGGGAAGATGCCAGAGCTAAGGATGATGTTAAAGAGTTTAAGTATAGCTAATTGAAATTCGTGGTCTGTATATTTTATAATTTCATTGAGGATACCATCAACACCACAGGCCTTTTTGGGTTGGAGGGTTTGTATTTTGTCCTGTAGTTCATTCAATGTAATTGGAGAATCCAGTGGGTTCTGGTAGTCTTTAATAGTTTATTCTAAGATTTGCATTTGATCATGTATATTTTTAGCGTTTGTTCTCTGTTATAGGGCCAAAAAGGTTGGAGAAGTGGTTTACCCATACATCTCCGTTTTGGATAGAAGCTCTTCGGTTTGTTGTTTGTTTAGTGTTTTCAATTTTCCAGAAGTGGTTAGTCATCTCTCTATTTAGTCTTTCTATCGTCTCTCATCGCTAATCTCCTAAACAGCCTCTCGTAATCATCTCTGTCTCTCTGCTTCTCAATAAAGAATGTAGCACGACTCACTACGATCTAGTACATCGCTCTCTCTCTCTCTCTCTATTCTCTTCTACTCTCCTCTCTATAAAGCATGGAGCCCCCTCTCTCTCTCTCTCTCTCTCTCCATAAAGCAGTGGCCTCTCTATCTCTCAATTCAATTAGTTAAGGGCTTTATTGGATGGGAAATGTAAACTTATTCTAGCTCTCTATCTCGCGATCACTATCTCGCTCGTCTCTCAGCTCGCTATCTCTCTCCTCTCTATCTCCTCTCTCTCTCTCTACTCTGCTCTCTCTCTCTCTCTCTCTCTCTCTCAGTTCAATTCAATTCAATTCAATTTAAGGGCTTTATTGGCATGGGAAACATATGTTAACATTGCCAAAGCAAGTGAAGTAGATAATAAACATAAGTGAAATGAACAATAGAAATGTACAGGAAACATTACACTCACACTCAAGTTCCAAAAGAATAAAGACATTTAAAATGTCATATTATGTGCAAATAGTTAAAGTACAGTGCCTTGCAAAAGTATTCAGCCCCCTTGGCGTTTTTTCCTATTTTGTTGCATTACAACCTGTCATTTAATTGGATTTTTATTTGGATTTCATATAATGGACATAGTCCAAATTGGTGAAGTGAAATGAAGAAAATAACTTGTTTCAGAAAATTCTAAAAAATAAATAACTGAAAAGTGGTGCGTGCATATGTATTCACCCGCTTTGCTATGAAGTCCCTAACTAAGATCTAGTGCAACCAATTACCTTCAGGAGTCACATAATTAGTTAAATAAAGTCCACCTGTGTGCAATCTAAGTGTCACATGATCTCAGTATATATACACCTGTTCTGAAAGGCCCCAGAGTCTGCAACACCACTAAGCAAGGGGCACCACCAAGCAAGCTGCACTATGAAGACCAAGGAGCTCTCAAAACAGGTCAGGGACAACGTTATGGAGAAGTACAGATCAGGGTTGGGTTATAAAAAAATATCAGAAACTTTGAACATCCCACGGAGCACCATTAAATTATTTTAAAAATGGAAAGAATATGGCACCACAACAAACCTGCCAAGAGAGGGCCGCCCACCAAAACTCACGGACCAGGCAAGGAGGGCATTAATCAGAGAGGCAACAAAGAGACCAAAGATAACCCTGGAGCTGCAAAGCTCCACAGCGGAGATTGGAGTATCTGTCCATAGGACCACTTTAAGCCGTACACTCCACAAAGCTGGGCCTTCCGGATGAGTGGCCAGAAAAAAGCCATTGCTTAAAGAAAAAACCCCGAGAACACCATCCCCACATTGAAGCACGGTGGTGGCAGCATCATGCTGTGGGGATGTTTTACATCGGCAGGTACTGGGAAACTGGTCAGAATTGAAGGAATGATGGATGTGGTTTAAGGGGAAACATTTAAATGTCTTGGAATGGCCTAGTCAAAGCCCAGACCTCAATCCTATTGAGAATCTGTGGTATGACTTAAAGATTGCTGTACACCAGCGGAACCCATCCAACTTGAAGGAGCTGGAGCAGTTTTGCCTTGAAGAATGGGCAAAAATACCAGTGGATAGATGTGCCAAGCTTATAGAGACATACCCCAAGAGACTTGCAGCTGTAATTGCTGCAAAAGGTGGCTCTACAAAATATTGACTTTGGGGGGGTGAATAGTTTTTATATTTTATTTTTCTTGTTTGTTTCACGATAAAAAATATTTTGCATCTTCAAAGTGGTAGGCATGTTGTGTAAATCAAATTATACAAACCCCCCCAAAAATCCATTTTAATTCCAGGTTGTAAGGCAACAAAATAGGAAAAATGCCAAGGGGGGTGAATACTTTCGCAAGCCACTGTATCTCTTACAGAGTAGAGATAATCAGCCAATTCATATTCTCTGTTCAGAGCCAGATAACAATTTAGTCGGCTTTGGGATTTTGTTTCATTTTTCCAATGTTGTAAATATGAGTCCTTTGATTGGTTCATGATTTTGTTTATTTGAATTATTTTTCTCTTTCGCTCTTTCGCTCTCTCACTCTGATACAGCATGTAGCCCTTCTCTCTCTCTCTCTCTCTCTCTTTCTCTTGCTCTCATACAGCATGTAGCCCTTCTCTCTCTCTCTCTCTGATACAGCATGTAGCCCTTCTCTCTCTCTCTCGCTCTCTCGCTCTCTCGCTCTCTCTCTCTCTCTCTCGCTCTGATATAGCATGTAGCCTTCCCAGAGGGGTTGGGTTAAATGCGGAATACACATTTCAGTTGAATGCATTCAGTTGTACAACTGACTAGATATCCCCCTCCCCCCCCCCCACCCCCCCCCCCCCCCCCCCCCCCCCCCCCCCCCCCCCCCCCCCCCCCCCCCCCCCCCCCCCCCCCCCCCTCTGTCTATCTCGCTCTCTCTCTCTCTCTGTCTTGCTCTCTCTCTGTCTCTCTCTCTCTCTCTCTCTCTCTCCCCCCTTGTCCTTTCCTCATGGCAACGGGCCACAAATCTTGCTGCTGTGATTGTGGGTCAGTGTGATCTGTGGGAAATATGTCTCTAATGTGGTCATACATTTGGCAGGAGGTTAGGAAGTGTAGCTCAGTTTCAACCTAATTTTGTGGGCAGTGGGCACATAGCCTGTCTTCTCTCGAGAGCCAGGTCTGCCTATGTCAGCCTCTCTCAATAGCAAGGCTATGCTCACTGAGTCTGTACATAGTCCATTTTCTTAATTTGAGTTCAGTCACATTGGTCAGGTATTCTGCCACTGTGTACTCTCTGTTTGGGGCCAGATAGCGATCCAACTTGCTCTGTTTTTTGGTTGATTCTTTCCAGTGTGTCAAATAGTTATCTTTTTGCTTTCTCATAATTTGGTCGGGTCTAAATGTGTTTCTGTCCTGGGGCTCTGTGGGGCCTGTTTGTGTTTGTGAACAGAGCCCCAGAACCAGCTGGCCGAGGAGACTCTTCTCTAGGTTAATCTCTCTGTAGGTGAGGGCTTTGTGGTGGAATGTGTGGGCATCACTTCCTTTTAGGTGGTTGTAGAATTTAACAGCTCTTTTCTGGATTTTGATAACTAGCGGGTATAGTCCTAATTCTGCTCTGCATGCATTGTTTGGGGTTTTGCGTTGTACACAAAGTATATTTTTGCAGAATTCTGCATGCAGAGTCTCAATTGAATGTTTGTCCCATTTTGTGAATTCTTGGTTGGTGAGTGGACCCCAGACCTCACAACCATAGAGGGCAATAGGTTCGATAACTGATTGAAGTATTTTTAGCCAGATCCTAATTGGGATGTTGAGTTTTATGTTCCTTTTGTTGGCATAGAAGGCCCTTCTTGCCTTGTCTCTTAGATTATTCACAGCGTTGTGAAAGTTACCTGTGGTGTTGATATTTAGGCCGAGGTAGGTGTAATTCTTTGTGTGCTCTAGGGCAACGGTGTCTAGATAGAATTAGAATTTGATGCTACTGGACCTTTTTTGGAACACCATTATTTTTGTCTTACTGAGATTCACTGTCAGGGCCCAGGTTTGAAAGATTCTGTGCAGAAGATCTAGGTGCTGGTGTATGCCCTTCTTGGTTGGGGACAGAAGCACCAGATCATCTGAAAAACAGTAGACATTTGATTTCTGAGTCCAGTAGGGTGAGGCTGGGTGCTGCAGACTGTTCTAGTGCCCTCGCCAATTCATTGATATATATGTTTAAGAGGGTGGGGCTCAAGCTGCATCCCTGTTTCACCCCATGGCCCCGAGGAAAGAAATCTGTGTGTTTATTGTGAACATTGATTTTATAATGTCAAATGCTTTTCCCCCAACACCGCTTTCCATCAATTTGTATATTGCAGACCCTCATGCCAAATTGAGTCAAAAGCTTTTTTGAAATCAACAAAGCATGAGAAGACGTTTTGTTTTGTTTGTTTGTCAATAAGGGTGTGCAGGGTGTACACGTGTTCTGTCGTACGGTATTTTGGTAAGTAGCCAATTTGACATTTGCTCAGGACATTGTTTTCGCTGAGCAAATGTTGGAGTCTGCTGTTGATGACACTGCAGAGGATTTTTCAGGGATTGCTGCTGACGCAGATTCCACTGTAATTATTGGGGTCAAATTTGTCTCCACTTTTGTGGATTGGGGTGATCAGGCCTTGGTTCCAAATATTAGGGAAGATGCTACAGCTGAGGATAATGTTCAAGAGTTTAAGAATAGCCAATTTGAATTTGTTGTCTGTGTATATCATTTAATTTAGTATACCATCAACACCACAGGCCTTTTTGGGTTGGAGGGTTTGTATTTTATCATGTAGCTCATCCAATGTAATTCGAGAATCCAGTAGGTTCTGATAGTCTTTAATAGCTGATTCTAAGTTTTGTAAATTATCATGTATATGTTTTTGCTCTTGGTTCTTTGTTATATGGCCGAAAAGGTTGGAGAAGTGGCTTATCCATACATCTCCATTTTGGATAGATAGTTCCTCGTGTTGTTGTTTGTTTAGTGTGTTCCAATTTTCCCAGAAGTGATTTGATTCTATGGATTCCTCAATCACAATGAGCAGTTTTTTGACATGCTGTTCCTTATTTTTTCTTATGCTAAGGTTTTTTGGTTCTCTGTGTTTTTGGTTGGATAGGTTTCTCAATATCTTTCTTAGGTTTTTACATTCTTCATCAAACCATTTCTCATTGTTGTTAGTTGTCTTAGGGTTTCTGCCGGAATTTAAATTTGATATGTTAGCTGATAGGTCAAATATATTGTTCAGGCTTCCTACTGTTAAGTTTACATCTTTATTATTGCAGGAAAACATTTTGTCCAGGAAGTTGTCTTGGAGGGATTGGATTTGTTGTTAGCCAATTGTTTTTTGGTAGGTTTCTACACTGCCCTCCTTCCATCTATAGCGTTTCTTAATAGTATACAGTTTGTTTGGCTTCGATGCCTCATTGTTGATTATTGCTCTATTCAAGTAGATTGTGATTCAAGTAGATATCTCTGATACAGCATGTAGCCCTTCTCTCTCTCTCTCTCTCTCCCTCTCTCTCTCTCTCATACAGCATGTAGCTCTCCTCTCTCTCGCCCTCTCACTCATACAGCATGGAGACCTTCTCTCTACTGTAGCAGCTAAATGGATTTATGCCGTATTGCAGGTCCCAATTCCCATCCTATCCATCCCCCTAACCCTTTGCAGATCTGAAGGGTCTAGATAGGTATAAGGAGTGGTGTGGTGGAGCTTTCACCATATTGCTTCCTCCTTACAGATCTGTTAGATTCTGATCACAGGCTTTACCAAGAGCAGATCAGTGTTGATATCTTATTGCCTGGGTAATAATATACTTTTTAGGGAGCCCTCTTCTGTTTCTACTCTGATCGAAGTACAACACACAGGCCAAATGTATCACCATATTCCAGAGAATTCTATAAGCCAATCATTGCTTTGATGATGACTAACTGATGACATGTAATCGTAAAACTCCTCGTCCCCTGTTAACCTTCTCTCAAAACCGCTGAGCCTTCATGTTCTTTATCGGCCCATAATTATGACGATGACTAGGTGAAATAGTATAGTAATTTCAAATAGATGTGAGAGTAATTGAAGGCTAATCGAGTTTTATAAGACTTTTCATTGCTATTGCTTTAATCTAGGGCCCTAATTAAAGAAAGTCTGCAGTGTTCATAGGGACTGCGTTAGTGACGGAATGGAGCATTTGTAGTGGTGGGGCCCGGCCCGGCCAGCCTGGATGGCGGAGGTTATTTAGCAAGGTTTTAAAGCATCTGAATGCTGTTAGTGGGAATACTGCCTGCCTGGCTGCCATGTCTGTTCTGAGTTCTGAAGAAAAATAAGTCCAGCTGCCAACCTAATCCATCTGTTCTATGGAACATGATCAAAGATCCACGAGTTCTAGGTCTGAGTCATTTAAACATAATTTACAGTCAGAGCACAGAGGCAATTTATATCCAGCAGGAGATGGGGTTACCACATCTCAGTGATAACTCTGCATGTCTTTTCAATGATAATAATTAATAATTGATTTTATTTCTATAGCGCTTTTCCAGATGGTCAAAGCTCTTTAGTTAGCAATGGGGGAAACTCACCGTACCTGACATTTTGCACCAGAAAGCTCACCACACATCAGCTATCACAGTGTAGAGAAGGGTATTAGTATGTGGCTGTACAAGGTCACTCTTGATAATTGTCCTGTTAATTGTCCTGTTCCTGTCCAGCTGCTGAAGTTTGTCCCAGAGAAGAGTGACGTGGATCTCCTGGAGGAGCACAAGCATGAGCTGGACCGCATGGCCAAGGCTGACCGCTTCCTCTACGAGATGAGCAGGTACATACTTTGGTTTGGTATAATGACTTTTGGTACTGCTACATTGTGTAACACCACATTCCCCACAATAATAATAATAATAATAAAAATAATATTACATTTTATTTGTAATGCGCTTTTCAAAACCCCAAAGTGCTAAAACCCCAAAGTGCTAGACACTATCCACAGCATGTTATTTTGTTGTTTGTTGGTATACTGTGGAAAATATTCAGCTGCTCTCGGATGACAATGGATTTTGACTTTAAAACTGCTTCTTCATTGTTAACATGTAGCCTTCATCAGGGCTTTTCTCCTTTGTTGGTTTACTGTAACAACACTTTCTGTGTAACTAGTCTTGAATCAACATTGCAGTTAACAGGAATTGACACATATCATTGTAATACCACCAGGAGTATATGTAAACAGCATGACACTCAGTGACACATGCTAGCTGGATGTCAACATCTTTTAACACAAATCACTTTAGCATATCTACAGTAACTGCTGAGGGACATCACTGCCAGACATGAAGCTGTGTCCCCGATCTGCCAGTGAAGGCCATTGGTCCTGACTGTGAGGGCTTGGGGAGAGCAGAACGATTGGTATTGTTCTTTAGTGAATAAAATAGACAGCACTGCCCTGCATTTTGCCCTGTGTAGGCCAAACACATTTATTACCTTTTGGAGTGCTGTCCGTTTAATTCACTATGGATTATAATTACGAGAATTCAGCCCCCAACTAGTTTTAGAAGTATAATATGTGAGTGAGAAAATTGTTAATTATTTATTTTGATAATTTTTTACCATGAGTCATGGTATCTGAGCTGAGGGGGAGGCTGTGGCTGAATTGGCGCCTGTGGCTGAATGGGTCCCTGTGGCTGAATGGGTCCCTGTGGCTGAGGGGGAGCCTGTGGCTGAATGGGTCCCTGTGGCTGAGGGGGAGCCTGTGGCTGAGGGGGAGCCTGTGGCTGAATGGGTCCCTGTGGCTGAGGGGGAGCCTGTGGCTGAATGGGTCCCTGTGGCTGTGGTTGAGGGGGAGGCTGTGGGGGAGGGGGAGGCTGTGGTTGAGGCTGTGGTTGAGGGGGAGGCTGGTGCAAAGGTGGCAGCAAGCAGCTGAACTCTCCATGTAACTCTGTTGTTAGTAAATTAATGTGAAACATTCTCGGCTCGTGCACGAACAAAAAAAGACTCCCCAGGGCTAGGGCTCACTGCAGTCCCTTTAATGGGCATTCCTCTACTGTCTTACAAATAAAGATTACTTAAGTTAGATTACTAGATTAAAGGAGGGGAAACAATGTCCAGGTGCTATTGTGAGTGTAGTACCAGCACCATTTTCTCCATGATGTATCAAGCCATTTACTATGGGAATAGAGACTTCCTTCCAGGATCTGGAGTCGTTTCTCGTTTTGTGTTTTGCCTTCCTGAAAACATTGAAGCCATGGTAACAGAGTTTGGGCAGGAAAAGGAGCTTCTTTATTCAATGTGCTCTGAGTTTTTCATGTTGGATATTTAATCCAGTAAGATCATTTGTGAAAACCTCAGAAAGAGGTCAAGGTCATGAAAGGCCTGTGTTGATCAAATGTCTGAACAAAACCACAAAACAAGTGTCTTTCTATTAAAAGTTCATGGCCTTCATTTAGGAAAAATCATATCATACAGACAGATGGGTGCGCAACTTTCAACTGTCAGCTCCAAAGGATTATTGAAAACATGCCAACTATATTTAGTCTCCAAATGTTTATTGAAAACGTAAATACATTTGCACAGTAAGCACTTGTTGTCTATCAAAAACATTGTTAGTTGTTGGTTATCTAGCTAGCGAATTTTAGCCATATTAGCATAGACGTGACATAAATCGAAACACCTCAAAATAAGACATGCTATCAAGAACAATATACAACTACCTGAAACAAACCCCTTACGATTTCCCACATGGCAGCTTCTTGTCATTGTTGCTATATATCTGACCGTTCAGAATCATAACACACGGCCTAATGCCTCATCGACGCGTGCTCCTGACGTTGTCAGGCAACCCGTCTATTACACAACAGTTTCAGTGAAGTGGAATGTTGTCTATGTAAACTCTGATTGAAACATAATATTTGGACCTCTTCCTACAATACAGAATCAACCACTACCAGCCAAGGCTGCAGTCTCTCTACTTCAAAAAGAAATTTGCTGAAAGAATCGTCGAAGTCAAACCTAAAGTTGAAGGTAGGATTTTCCTTACAATGTTCCATGCTAAAATTATCTACCTTTTAAAAAAGTTGTGCATTACATAGGCAATAGGGTGCCATTTAACCAATGTCTTATCCTCATAACGGTAACTTCCTCTTCCTCTCCCCAGCACTGATCAGGGCATCTAAAGAAGTGCTGCAGAGCCGCAATCTCAAGCAGCTTCTGGAGGTGGTCCTGGCCTTTGGTAACTACATGAACAAGGGTCAGAGGGGGAACGCCTATGGCTTCAAAGTGTCCTCACTCAACAAGATTGCTGACACCAAGTCCAGCATTGACAAGTAAGAAATGTTTTGGCTTGAGCATATTTCATTTATCCTTTATGTATACAGGAAAAATCCCATTGACATAAAAAATGTATTGTGCATAGACCTGTCCAAATGACACCGCACTAAGAGTATTGAAAAGAGAGTGATGATGTGTGTTGTGTGTGATATAAATTCTAATGTGTGGTATGAATTATAATGTGTGATATGAATTTAAATGTGTGATATGAATTCTAATGTGTGGTATGCGTGTTTGTAGGAACATCACTCTGCTGCATTACCTGATCACCATCCTGGAGGAGAAGTATCCCAAAGTGGCCGTGTTCCAGGAGGAGCTTCAGAGTGTTCCAGAGGCAGCCAAAGTCAAGTACGAGCTGCTGCTAAGGCTGACTGAATCAGATCCAACAACCACACACACACACACACACACACGGATGCTGTTTCATAAACCTAAGTTGCTCTCATGTCTGTGTAGTAACTGTGTGTAATTACCCTTGCAACAACATTGTAATAGTTTAATTTTCCTCTCTAAGCCAAATTAATGGTGCCTGGCTTTAAGTAGAGAGGGTAAAAGGTTAAGACCGTATTGCAGTGTGTATTACCTTACACGCTGTGTTTACAGAGAGAGTCAAAGGTCATGTTTATATTGTCTGGATGTGTCAGAGGCACAGGTTGTCCTAATAGCCCCTATTTCAGTGATCCTCTTGAAATGTGGAAAGTGTGAACTGTGAACCCTAGAACCTTCAAAATGTCAAGGTGTTTCCTGTCGTACCACAACAAAGCAATAGTAGTAGCAGTCAGCATAATCCAGAGATTTAGGGAGAAAGAAAACAGTAAGAAAACAGTAAAATAATTATAATAATTCAGGTCGCAAATATAGATAATCTAAGTTAGAGTTTCTGTTAAACCTAGTGAACCCTGTATCCATGCCTTTCCTGACTGAGAAGGAAGAGAGTTAGGTTTTATCCTCACACATTTCCTGTCTCTAAGTTGGGGCTTGGTTGGAGCAGATGGTTTGTAATTGTTTCACGTCAATAAACTCCTCTCTCCACTCCCTTTCTTTCCCTTTCGTCCTCTCGTCTCCTCTCGTCTCTCTCCACTCCCTCTCTTTTTCTTTCCTCCTCTCCTCTCGTCTTTCTCCACTCCCTCTCTTTCCCTTTCCTCTACTTTTGTCCACAGTATGACAGAGCTGGAGAAAGACATCAACAACTTGCGCTCTGGACTGAAGAGTGTGGAGACGGTGAGTGGCCATTTCTATTGGTTTTCCCTTAATGGAGCCACACATGATATCAGAGGCAGTATACTTGGGCTTGCACTCCTCTACCTCCTGTTCATGAGTCTCAGTAGGTTTCCAATGACAGAACGCCAAAGATTAGGGCCTGGAGTTTTGCCTGGTCATATTACATGGTCATACAAAACTCCTGGCCCTAGCAGTGATCAATCTGAAATGGGCATGGTACTGTACTCTTGTGTTGTGGGTTGTCTGATGACAGTCATATAACATCCTGTAATGCTGTTCCTTACTGTATAGGAGCTGGAGTTTCAGAGAGGTCTTCCTCAGGTTTCGGGTGATAAGTTTGTGTCTGTGGTGAGCCAGTTCATCACCATGGCCAGCTTCAGCTTCTCAGACGTGGAGGATTCTTTGACCGAGGCCAAGGAGCTGGTGAGAACCGGCGGGGGCCGGGTCTGGGGAGCGCATTGTCCGTCTGTCCCCTCCTCCTCAAGCTTCTCTCCACAACTAGGAGCTCTGAAGGAGCTATAAAACTAAAATATGGTCGCTTTAAAGATTTTTAAAAGGCAGCGCAAATGGCAAATCCTGTACTTTATACTTGGTCACATAACCAAGTAGGTAGCACACATTAAGTGTTCTTACTGCAGCTTTGAAGTCACCTTTTCAAACAACCAATATACTTGGAAATATTATGCCTCGTGTTTCACTGTATTTAAATGTGGAAGATGTAGTAACTCACGTCTGTTCAAGGCTGACAGTCTACCTGCATGGACATTGGAACCTCTGAATATAAACAGTTCATGTTTAACTGAGATGGGTCAAGGCTATCAGTTTCAAAGCCATGGTTTTCCCCCTGGGTCTCCCCTTCATGAAGTGCCATGTGGAATGTATTTGATACATGTGCAGTGCACAGTGGATGAGGGTTATTTATGTGTCAAGTTACACTTTACAATGGAAACGAGGAGGAAACCACCTCTGTTGGGAGCAGACCTGGGTTCAATTAATATTTGAAATCTTTAAAATACAGAATGTTTGCCCTACCCTGCCTGGAGTGCCAGGTGGGCAGGGTTTGCACTTTTGCGACTATACTGTTGGTTCCAATGTGCCAGACAAGCTCAATCAAGCCCAGAGAAAGTATTAGTTATGATTTCAAATAGTATTTGAACCCAGGTGTGATGGGGTACCCAGGTCTCACACATTCATCCCTTGTGTAATACTGAAAGAAAGTTGACCTACATTCACACTAAATCACCTGTGTGACACATTGATTGCATTTTATTACATCTAGAGGAAAAGCTGTTTGACCATCAAAGTATTTGGTGTCTAACGTTATTTTCTCTCCAGTTTTTGAAGGCAGTGCAGCATTTCGGTGAGGATGCAACCCGTATGCAGCCTGACGAGTTCTTCGGAATCTTCGACCAATTCCTGCAGGCGTTCACAGAGGCCAAGCAGGAGAATGAGAACATGCGCAGACGCAAGGAGGAAGAAGAACGACGGGCCCGCATGGAAGCACAGGTTAGATTGTTAAGATTGTCTATCTCCGACCAAAACACTAGAGAGAGTCACCTATGGTCACCATTTAACCACCCAGTCATTATGCAACAACTATTACAAATGGGTATCAAACCAGTTTATTTTACTCTTGACCAACACACACTCAAATGCACGTGCTGTACTGCTAATTTACTCAATACACCAAATACATCCGTCACACACTATATGCTACTGTAGCTATGTGTCAAATAGTCACTCCTGTTTTGTCCTCTCAGCTGAAGGAGCAGAGGGAGAAGGAGCGCAAGTCCAGGAAGGCTAAGGAGAACTGTGAGGAGGACGGTGAGTTCGACGACCTGGTTTCAGCCCTGCGCTCTGGGGAGGTGTTCGATAAGGACCTGTCCAAGATGAAACGCAACCGCAAGCGCGTCAACTCATCAGCTGAAACCAGCAGGGAGCGGCCGGTCACGAAACTGAACCTCTAAAACAACTGATGACTGAGCCTCTGTCCTACTGGAGCTAGGCTATGCTGCCCTCTGTTGGCTTGGTATGGGCCTAGCACCCCCTCATTTTGGAGTGGACAGAACTCGCTACTAAAACGGAACTGAACTGTGCAGGAAACGTGGTGGACAGACCTCTACATACTCTTCTGCTACTCAAGCAACAATAACCCAGAGCTTGTGTCTGTCTGGAAACAGACATTAACTCCTCTGAAAACCATGAACTATGGATCAGGAGTGACTCTCTAAGCTATTTGTGTTAACTGCTAAAACCTACATTTTTTAAATGCTTTGGTCTGAATGACAGTTTTGCTCATGTCCTGGATGGGACACTTTAATAGCATAGGGCTGGTGCCCTGGAGTAGGACCCTCTTCTTGACCCTCGCTGCCTGCAAAGATGACCAGGAGGTGGAATGGAAGGCCAGGGATAACACACACAGTAACCCTGGTGGAGACACGTTTCCTGTTTTAAACAGGGGAGAATGTACTAGCCTTTGTGTAAAATCTTTCCTGCTATTGTGTTGAGTCAGACTCCCTTAAGGGTATAGTAAAAGATGTCAACCCCATGCAAAGAAACAATGTGTCTGTTGAAGCACAATCCAGTATGTATGAATGGTAATGTTTTTGAGATAAGCACAAAAGCATAACAACAAGATACACATTTTGATACTGTTTTTTTATCACAATTTTGCAAAGACCTAATTTAGATATGTTTAAAACCAAATCACAGATGCAATATTACCATTTTATTAGAGCCCTAACTTTCACCTTTAGAAAATAATGTATTAAAGCAGCAACAAAAGATGGGTCAAAAACTAATGTATATTTTACTGTAGATACAGTATTGTAAAAGAGTATAGGACCTAGTTTGAAGTTTTGAAAGGATATTGTCTCCGATTCTATTTGATTTAAAGAGTTACCAAAAAGGGTTGCTCTACATCTGGCCATCCTGACACACAGTGTGGATATCAGTCTGGAAACTATGCATCCTATACGTTTTTTCTTTGTGTTCAATACTGTCATGTATGTGTATATATTATGTATTGTGCCAATTCCAGTGTCACCTTCTCACTATGTTATGTACAGCAGAAACCATTCAGTTATTTAGTCAGACCCAATTAGTAAAACCCTTCTAAAACCTTTGGTCACATTTCTACCAACACCCTCTTTACTTAACTGTGTGATAGATTTTCTGATGTAGGTATGTGGGTTCTTTCAATACAGCTTTTTTATTATTTAAACAACTTTCTATTTCCGAAACGGACTAAAGTAATAAACCTGGATGTCAATTATCTGTTGAATCTTTGTTATTTATTCCACCTTTATTTAACCAGGTAAGTTCTCATTTACAACTGCGACCTGGCCAAGATAAAGAAAAGCAGTGCAATAACAACAACAACACAGAGTTACATATGGGATAAACAAAACGTACAGTCAATAACACAATAGAAAATCTATATACAGTGTGTGCAAATATAGTAAGTTATGGAGGTAAGGCAATAAATAGACCATAGTGGAAAATAATTAAAATTTAGTATTAACACGAGTGATAGATGTGCAGAAGATGATGTGCAAATAGAGATACTGGGGTGCAAATGAGCAAAATAAATAACAATGTAAATAACAATATGGGGATGAGGTAGTTGGGTGGGCTAATTACAGATGGGCTGTGTACAGGTGCAGTGATCGGTAAGCTGCTCTGACAACTGATGCTTAAAGTTAATGAGGGAGGTAAGTGTCTCCAGCTTCAGAGATTTTTTCAGGTCGTTCCAGTCATTTGCAGCAGAGAACTGGAAGGAATGGCGGCCAAAGGAGGTGTTGGCTTTGGGGATGACCAGTGAGATATACCTGCTGGAACGCATACTACAGGTGGGTGTTGCTATGGTGACCAATGATCTAAGATAAGGCGGGGATTTTCCTAGAAGTGATTTATAGATGGCCTGGAGCCAGTGGCTTTGGCGACGAATATGTAGTGAGGGCCAGCCAACAAGAGTGTACAGGTCACAATGGTGGGTAGTATATGGGGCTTTGGTGACAAAACAGATGGCACTGTGGTAGACTACATCCAATTTGCTGAGTAGAGTGTTGGAAGCTATTTTGTAAATGACATCGCCAAAGTCAAGAATCGGTAGGATAGTCAGTTTTACGAGGGCATGTTTAGCAGCATGAGTGAAGGAGGCTTTGTTTGCAAGCCAGAACTACAACCAGTAATTCCTCTCAGACTGTATTCAATAAGTAGCTGTTGGTATTGTCTTGCTAGGGCAATTTAATTTAAGTGCTGTCTTTTACCTAGTTTACCTTTTACCCTAATCATTGTCTGTCTCATTGCTCAGTACTTGTGACTAGTTGTGGACTTGGATTAGTTTCAGGCCAATTTGTGTAATAGCCCTTGGTAACAGTTGGGTGTTTTAAGAGGGAGTGGCCTTACTTGTGTTCCCTGACTATTTAAGGAGCCTTATTTGGCCCCAGTCTTAGTGCGCCATCTATAGTTTGGAAGGACATCAGTTCCTACAAGAGCAGCAAGTATATTTTTGATTCAATAAGTAGCTGTTGGTATTGTCTTGTTAGGGCAATTGAAATTGAAGTGTTGTCTTTTACCTAGTAGCCTACTTAATCATTGCTGTTTGAACTGTCTGATTGCTCAGTACTTGTGACTGTCGGTTGTGGACTTGGATTAGTTTCAGGCCTATTTGGTCTTGCTAATTTGTGGGTGTGTTTTATTGTAGGGGGTGTTTTCTTCACCTCTGCCAGGCATTCAGCAATCACTACTGGGAGGTGTGTCTTTCACCTCTGCTAGGCAATTAGTGCTAGTACTTCAGTTTCCCATTTCTTCAGCAGCAGCTGTAAGAGGCAGTATTGTCGCCGAAACAGACTGTCTGCTGAGTTTTTTGAGGAAGGCTCCACACCACTCTCTCACTTGATTATCTTACCTAGTTATTTTCAGATCTTAATTTGATCTTTTGTAGCTTTGGCAAGTATGTGTTTCCCATTCCAGTTCGCTCCTCTCCCAGTAGGTTTTACAGACGCTGTGATCACAACCCATGTGTAGCTCTTTGTCTCTGTGGCCAATAAAGCTGAGTTCATCTCACCCTGACGGAGACATGGAATACCCTATAACACTGCTACTGATCGCCGTGGTGATGGCACAGGCCTAATCATTTCTCCTTTCCCCCTCACCTGTCTATTGGGTGACTTTAACTTCCTTACGCCTGACTTCAATTAATTTCTTTCCACCTCTTTCTTTCCACTCCTTTCCTCTTTTCACCTCACCCTTTTCCAGTCACCTCACACTCACAAGGCAGGCAATCCGCTTGACCTCAACTTCACTACAGGCTGTACGCCTACTGATCTCACTGCAACCTGCCTGCAGGTCTCTGATCACTACTTTGTTTCATTTTCTCTCCATTTCGCCTCCAACCATACGCACTCAGCCCCTACCCAGATGATCATGTGCCACCGCAGTCTTTGCTCTCTCTCTTGCTACTCTTCTATCCTCTCTTCCTTCTGCTAAATACTCCTGACTGCCTCTTCCACCCTACTCACTTACCTTTCCGCTTTCTTTGACTCCCACTGTCCCCTTTCCTCCTGGCCAGCCCAACCTTTTGACTCCCACTGTCCCCTTTCCTCCTGGCCAGCCGACCTTCGCCTCTTGCTCCGTGGACGAGTGACTCACTGCGCGCTAACAGAACACGGTTGCGGGAAGTTGAGTGGAAATGGAGGAAAACTAAACTTCCGGAGGACCTATCATCCTTCCACTCCCTCCTCTCTACTTTTTCTTCCTCTGTATCTGCTGCTAAAGCTGCCTTCTATCACACTAAATTTGTGTCTTCTGCCTCCAACCCTGGGAAACTCTTTTCCACTTTCTCCTCCCTCCTTAATCCTCCTCCCTCTCTGTGGACGACTTTGTCAACCTTTCTGAAAAAAAGGTTGACTACATCCGCTCCTCATTCACTCAGCCTATTGAGTCCACTGGTTCCCACTCGCACAGAACTACCCTACGCCTTGACCTCTTTCTCCCCTCTTTCCAGATGAAATCCTGCGACTAGTGATGTCCGGCCGCCCAACAACCTGTCCACTTGACCCCACTCACTTCTCCAGACCATCTCTGGAGACCTTCTCACTTCCCTCATCAATTCATGCCTGACCACTAGCTGCGTCCCATCTGACTTCAAGATGGCCAGAGACGCTCCCCTCAAGAAACCAACACTCGACAGACTCTGACGTCAAACTACAGACCGGTATCCCTTTTCTTTCCAAAACACTTGAGCATGCTGTCTCTGACCAACTCTCTTATCTCGCATAACAATCTTCTTGACCCTAACCAGTCAGGCTCCAAGGCAGCTCACTCAACTGAGACCGCTCTCCTCTGTGTCAGAGGCTCTCTGCCAAAGCTGACTCATTTCTCATCCTCCTAGATCTATCCTCTGCCTTCAAAACAGTGAACCATCAGATCTTCCTCTCCATCCTCTCAGGGTTGGGTGTCTCAGGCTCTGCACACTTCTGAATTACATCCTACCTGGCAGGTCGCTCCTACCAGGTGGCGTGGCGAGGATCTGCGTCTGCACCACTACTGGTGTCCCCCAGGGCTTGGATCTAGGCCCCCCTTTCTCTTTACACCCAGTCACTCGGCTCTGTCATATCCTCACATGGTCTCTCCTATCATTGCTTTGCGGATGACACTCAACTACTCTGCAGGTTCATGCTCTACAACATCCGTAGAGTACGACCTTTCCTCACACCGGAAGTGGCGCAGGTCCTAATCCAGGCACTTGTCATCTCCAACCTAGACCACTACAACTCTATTGGCTGGGCTCCCCGTTTGTGCCATCAAACCTGTGAAACTTATCCAGAAGGCTGCAGCCCGCCTTGTGTTCAACCTAACCTTCAAGACCCTGGTGCTTGAATAGTATCTTAATGCTCACGACCCCCCCCCCCCCCCCCCCTCTCTCTTTTCCCCACTAGCACTGACTTTGCTGATAAACACT